TAGATTTCCTATCATAAAATGTCTCACCAAATAAGCAGGTTTGGTGAAAAGATCTATAGTTAGCCATCAATGGCTAGATAGCCACCCCTCCACTCTGGACAGGTTCGTGTCTCAGCAAAGCGCCGACCAGCTCAGTATCCTCAGAGTTCTTCTGGGAAGAAAAAACTGTCGTGCTCCTCAAGCATGCAACCATCACACGATAGTGCAGTTGACAACCGACCCAACACTCACACCCCCCCATTGTGCACATCCCTCGAGTGAAATGCATTGCCGTAGTGGCCTGCATGATTTAGAAAAATAGCAACTGAATGGAGACAGGGAGCTGAGGATTGTTGGACTGGGTTACGGAAGATAGGATGACCGGAGATCTGGTCGAGGATATCGTCAAATATTTCTGGATTGACGTGCAGTTTCTGGCGAAACAAATGAGCCGGTGTTCCTCACGGTGAACCAGCATATGCAGCTGAGGTGCCCGAGGAGGAGGCTCATCAGGCTTGTGGAATACACGTGCCCTCTCTACCTCATCACGAAGAGCAGCAATTGTGTGCTGGAGCCAGTCGTAACGCACAGCAGCATCATCTGAGTCGTCAGATCGGTCACGTGGTGGAAATATCTGAACTGAGGCCCGAAAGGTGGGACATAGGGGACATAGGGGACATGGGGGATATAGGGGATGGGGAGGCAAAAGCCAGATCTTCCTCATCCAAGGTATAAAGCGAGTTAAGTCCGAGTCAGTATTAGAGTCTGAGTTGGAGTTGGAGCCCTGGTCATCCAGGAGTATATTCAAATACTGTGAGTTGGCTAATGCCAATGAAGCCTGATCAATGGCACGAAGGAGGTCTTCACGTGTAGACTGAGGAGGCATGGTTGTGACTTGGAACGGAGTGTTTTCTTATCAGTACACTCGAGATCCATCATCCAACTGATTAGGTGGAGTTTAAATCGGAGTTTAAATTTTTACCACGATTAGCACCAGATGTCATCGCTAGCATCTGCATCCTCCGTGCATTCCGTAGCTCGAATCTCACCATCCCCTTGCCCCTTCCAGCATGATCTTACAGGTGGATAATGGGGAGGTATGCAATGGCGCCGGATGGGAGGTTGAGGATGTAAATGTGAGTAATTTTTCTTCATTTGTGCTCCTGCCCTCTCTGATCTCATGCTACTGCTGTTGTGTCTCCCAGCCCACATGCCTGCACCTGCGCACCTGCGCACTCATACGCTGTTGTTGTATCTCCCAGCCGGGCCAGCCCCACACACCTGTGTCCATGTTCCCGCCCTTCACACTGCTGTTGTGTCCCTCGCTGTCACGCGTCCAGCATTCGAATGCCGGATCAAACGGAATCCCCCAACATGTTCGTTATCTCCTAGCACATGCTCCCGCCCTCTTACACTGCTTGTGTCTCCCTCGCTGTCACACATTCAGCATTCGAACACCGGATCAAATGGAATCCCCTAACTCTACCTCCCAGCTCATGCGCCCGCACTCTCACTCTCTCATACCTCCGTTCTGAATCTCGTGTTTCCCTCACTATCACACATTTCTTTTTTGTTATATCTCGTTCATTAGATACCTAGCTACATCTATATATTTTTGTGTAGTATACATGCCTTAAAATTTGACTAAATGTTTCCAAGTCCACTCTGATGCCACGTGTGCCATGTGTCTTGATGGCTTTCTGGCCGAGTTTGTTGAAGACTTTAGCGAGTTTGTTAAAGACTTTAGCGAGTTTTTTGAAGCTTTAGCGAGTTTTTTGAAGTGTTCAAAACCTATCGTGAGTAATACTAATAACTACCCCAGACCTACCTGGCTAAAAAGCTTGCTAATAATTGCCGAAATACTTTTATCCCGAACCCTAGTCTAGTATGTCGGAGATTTTTTACCGGCATCATAATGGTCACGCGTTACAATCAGGCTCAAAATGATTTTGACCCTCATTACGACCTCATTACGACGCCTTAAGCGGAGTTTGAATATCATGCTGATGCAATTCTGATTCGGATTACTGATATGACTTATACCTAGGCGAGGCAACACATGCTGCATCAACGGTTCTGACTCTGTACGCCTCTTTTCCAGTCTCATTTGTCTTCTTTATTCTCAACTGAACTGAGCCCTGGACCGTCTTGTCACTTTGATTTATAATCTTATTCTCTCGCATACCATCGATAACAACAACTTTTGTTCACTCCCATCGTCTATCCGAAGTCTACAGTCAGTCCAAATGTCTTCCCTATCCAAAACTCGTCGTTCTTCTGCTCAACAATTCTTCCAAGCATATCCAATTTGTTTAAACGAAACATATCATCTCCTCAATCATTGTCTGTATTCCTGACAGGCTTTGACGCTTGGTCCTCGGTATGCACTCCGTTACTCGCAGCTTTACGCTCTCACTCTAATATTATATGATCACTATCAGCTTGCTCGTTGCTCGTTTGCTACTTGACATCAATGCCTAAGTCAAAACAACGAGCATCAGACCTTGTGACGTGTGATCGATGTGGAGTGAATGTGCATGCGCGTGGGTTAGGATCCCATTCGAGGTCTTGCGCGAAGAAGGAACGGGAACGGCAGGAAGATGAGGAGTTTGTTAGCATAGTTCAGAAAGCCGAAAAGAAAGGTGAGCACTCGAATCAGTTGTCTTTCAATGATGTACTCGATAGATGGTTGATAATTTTTTTTACAGAACTTTGAAGGCAGCGTCGCAAAATTCGTAATAATTTACAACATTTGGAGGATGCGCAATCATCTGCAGGTGAGCACTCATATTTTAACAATAGTACTATGGTTTAGAATTTTCTTCTCGCAACACAGTGAATGCCACCGCGATATGGGCCGCAGACTCAGACATTGGTACGTTGATTCAATTTGATTAGTGTTATACTGAGACTAACAGTATCAGTTATGCGAGGGTCTTCACCTCGCCAATACCCTCCGGCGGACCCATTACCTGACTTCCACCAAACCGATCCTGGTCCCAATGAACCAGATCCTGGTCCCAACGAACCGGATCCTGGTCCCAACGAGCCCGATCCTGGTCCCAATGAGTCCAATCCTGATCTCAATCAGCCTGCGCATGAGCTTGACGATATCAAAGTCGAGCATCATCCTCACAGCCAAATTCCTTCTACTGTGCATCGCTTCTCTGAGTTCTCTCGCAGCTGCCCAACAGAAGACTATGTACCTCGTAACGACTCGCCATGGGAGCCATTCTGCACACGGCTTGATTTCGAAGTAGCAGAGATTGCACTCGAAGCTGCGATGACAAAGGATCAAACCAATCGCCTTATCAATCTCATACATCGATCTGCTAGTGGCAATGACACATTCACACTGCAAAATCATGATGAAGTCCGCTCCCTCTGGGACCTTGCTTTGCAACATTATACTAGAGTAAGTGTTGTCTCATGTAGCTACTACTAGTACATTACCATAAGCTGATCATTAGTGCATAGTTTCAGAATGATGCAGTGTCTGTTCCCCTCAGAAATGAAGTGCTCGAATTCGACATGCACTACCGCCCTCTCTGGGATTGGGTCCTTGACTTGTTGCGAGACAAACGTCTCGCACCTCATTTTGTATTTGATGCTCAATGTCTCTCGAAATTCAACGGAGAAAGATTTGTACGTTTTATTGATGAACCATGGACTGCCGATGTGTTTTGGAAGGCACAAGTATGTTTCGACATTTGATCTATTGTTTGTTTCTTTAAATTAATAGTATGCTACAAAACTGTTGTAATTGTAGTCGCAGCTTCCGCCCAATGCAAAACCACTGGCATTCATCCTCTATGCGGACAAGAGTAAACTATCGTCATTTGGGAGCCAAAAAGGCTATCCAATCATTGCGCGCATCGCTAACCTACCGGTTCATATTCGTAACAGTAATACTGCCCTAGGAGGTGGTCGTGTCGTTGGCTGGCTGCCCATTGTTAGTATACTGACAAGCTTGTTCAGTTCATAGTAATGCTGACTGCCATTATATTAATTCAGATTGTTGAGGATCAAGAACATGCAAAAAAGAAGAACTATGTAGACTTTAAAAATGCTGTCTGGCATACATCCTTCTACCAGCTTCTGGCCTCGGTTGCGAAGCACTCAAATACAGGCTATTGGTTTGAATGCAGAGACGGAATCCGACGTCATCTCTGGCCCCTCATTATAATCTTAAGTGTCAATTACGAAGAACAGTAAGTCATACTAGTACTACAAGTTAACTATTGTGAGCTGCTCATGTACAAATTATAGATGTATCATGGCATTGATCCGTGGGCTTAAGGGAAAATTTCCATGTCCAGTTTGTTTGGTTCCACAAGACGAGCAGTCCATTCTCCGCACCCATGAGCTGCACACAAGCCACCAATCTGAAGACATACTCCGCACTGCAAGATCAAAGCCGTCTGAGAAGGAAAAAGAGGATCATCTAAAGGCTTTCTCACTTCGAAACATTGAGGTATGCATTTCCCTCCCAACTTACCCTTCCTCTTACAATGATTGACTTGTATTTCAAACAATTCACGACCTCATATGAAAAACTTCACTTCCTTCCCATTTTACCATTTCTGCTGTTATATCTATTACTATTGACAAGTTTGCTGATGTAATTCAATTGTTAGAATGTCTTCTCGAGAATCCTTCATGTCGATGTTCATCGTGCACTTTCTTTCGACCGCCTGCATACAAACAAGGAAGGATTATGGGGTGACCATTTGTGGAAGGAAGTAAAGTTTTGGATTTTGGACCTCGGGCGTGAAGCGGCTGTCAAACTCGATAAAAAGTATGTATTGTGGCTATAATACATTGACACTACTTCTGACTCAGTGTCTTAGCTTCGATGAACTTCCATGATGGCCTAATTTAACACATTTTTCATCTGTTGTCGCAGTTGATTTCACTGATGGTTCTGTTCTCAGTGATCTGTCCAAGGTTTGTCTGCACCATCATAAATGATTTTAGGTACTTACACAAACTTAGATGATCATTTTTGCGGCACAGGATATGCTTACTTCATCCCACTGTAAACTGGGACAGTTACTTCTTCGTTGCATTCACTACTACGTCGAGTTTGATATTTATGTCTCATTAGAAGTACATACAGAGGATACAATCGCAGCTGGAAGGCTGGCACTGCAAAAGTTCTCAGAAATGATGGATGTAAGTTGTTCCGATGTTTTCGATGACAATTGTCTGACTTTTCATTAGGAATATATTGCACAATCGCACCCCGAAACCAACAAAAATTGGAACTTTCCAAAGAAACACTTGGTCTCGCATGCATTCGACGATATTCTAGCCAAAGGTGTGACACGTAACTACAGTACCAAGCCAAATGAAAAGATGCATGGCTCTTTACAAAAAATCAATCTTCAACGCACAAATTTCAAGAATGTTGCTTCTCAGGTTCGTTGCTTAACTATATTGTTATGCAGATTCAGACCAATAGTTTTTAATTGTTACAGATTCTACACTATGATGAATGGCTTCTAACTTCGACATCCATGCGCTCTGAACTCGACGAACTCGACAAGTACAATCAACGAGACACCTGTGACCCTGAGACCAACGAAGTACTGGATGACTCCAACGCTGGAACATCTAAATCTACTACTATTCATGCACATTTAGGTTCAAGGCAGGGTAATAACTCTTTTTCCGACATCATGCACTTGCATGGAACTGACAGGGCCTTCACCAACTTTCGGATGAAGCTAAACGACTTCTTAAATGGCTTCCTGCCACAGAATAACATTCCATTACCAGATGGAAGGCGCATTCACATGCAAGCAGAGGATACAGTACGTTTACTTTACATTCAATTGATAATACTGATGCATTTCTATCAGATAACAGAGTTTAGGTTCTTGCGGATCAATTATGAATCACTAGTCGACTGGTGCATGCACTGAGACCTACTCCAATGCAATCCAAAGTTCTATGGATCGCCGAGATACGACTGCGTCATCGTGAACACTGCAAACACACCATTCTTCGCTCACCTTGTATACATGTTCACTTGTTTGGTTGGCGGCACTGAATTCCCTCTCGCACTTATTCAGCCATATGACGTCGGTATTGCTAATAGTCGTTGGAGGCGGGATAATGATATGGGATTGTGGCGCGTGCGAGCCAAACCTCGCTCTTCTTCTGAAATCATTTCGGTTCGGTCAATCGTTCGGGGAGCTGCTCTCGCCAGAAATCCCGAAACAGATGGGGATTACTTCGTCATCCACACTGTGGACACTGACATGTTCCTTCGAGTCAAGGCACTCCAGGCTAGCGCTCAACCATTGTGAGGCAAGCTATTATTAGTATTGTTGGTACATTTTTGTCTCCTCATCTTTCGCTTGCAACAAACTTTTATTGATATGCTCCTTCGCAGATCAATAACATGTACTAGTGGTAGTATTACAGATATTTCCCATGCCCTACCCACCCATTTGCACATTCCACGCAGTTCTGAACGACACCCAAAGACCTCGTCAGCCAAGATTCCCTGCAATTCCAGCAATTGAAGAATTTACGATGCGATGTGAGGACAGGCCTCTCGAGAACGACCTCACTTCTATTGTGATGCTCTATGATGGGCGCCTGAGCCTTATAATTGGCACTCTGATCGCATGCATCATGCGCAGGACGTATCTCTGGTGAAGAACTGGTACTTGAAGCACTTCCTCCTAACCAGCCAGTCAAGGTTCGTATATCACATCAGAAGTTGTTCAAGTTGCTCAAGTGTTTCGTCCTCAATGAGCTCAAGAGTCAACCTGAGAATGCGATGACTAAAAGAATCTCTTCCGGCAGTTGAAGGCGACAAAGTTCTTCCAGATAATTCCCACCACCGCCAATCCTTGATCTTGTTGTCTTGCTTCATCGCACTATCATGCCCAGTAGCTTAGAGGGCTGATGTATCAGACTTGAAAGTGAGTTACTCCATATCACCTTCGCATCCGTTTGGTGATCATCACACTCTATTTACAGTTGTCAGTAGAAAAACACCTTAAATTTCCCTTGTAGCGCATTCCCACAAGCATCTACGTATCCATCACTCTCGACTCGAGCAGGCACTGGAAATCAGCCATTGGAGTCTTACCATTTGACGAATCCATCTTACGTTCGTCTTGTATTGTTGTATTGCCTCTAATTCATTGACTTAATATTGGTTTTCAGACACAGTATCAAGCGATGCTAGAACCGGCGCCTTACCCTCGAAGTCGAAGATCTTGTACCTACTGGGACCGCAGTATTCCTCGTATCAACACCATCTTCCAAAAGCATTGTTACACATTGTCAGCATATGGCTAGGTGGGCATCTCAGCGCCATGATGGAAAGTTCTGACAACTGAGCTACTGTGTTGAGGGTAGTGTTGCAATTGAACTGAGGTGACTTCGAAGTGAGTTCAATTCGGTTCAAAAATGAGGCTCGATTCATTTACACCTCATTGTAATAAGCATCAAATTAGGAACGAACAATCCTCAAACGTGTACTTTCAAGCTTCGGGCTGAGTCCATTACACTTCTATTCGTTCCACCTCGACCATCGAACCTAGAATGAACTCTCACCTCGATTCCGATCCGTTCAATTAGAGTATCTTGGAGCACACGCCCTTCAAATAAATTCCTCATGTGGGAGGCTCAGCTTGATCGGATAAGTATTTTCATGCACGGCAAGATGGCAAGCCCTCAACATTCACTGTTTTACAGACGTAAGTGACCTTATTTTATCTGAATCGTAAGACTTGATCTGTCCGCATGATAGTGTGTAGACTTGCAACGTGTAATATCACACATTGACCTGCGTCGTGCTGCGATAATGATTATGTACGTCTTCATTGCGTGTAATTTACCATTCAATTTGACTTTTTCAGTCACAGCCTCATGCCCTCAATGAGCCGATCAGCAAACCTGGACCGCGTGTATGATTACATTGAGTTCACTCCGACACCACCCGACTTCAAGATTGCATAAAATAGCATCAACTGCGAGACAGCTTTGACTCGACACCCTGTGACCCACCCTCTCAGGTTCCAGCTCGTTGAGCATACTATTCCTCCCCGTTGCATAATAAATGTCTGACTCTGGCTCAAATCCAATATCCTCAAGTTCTGATTCAGGCTCAGACTCGGCGGATGAAGAACGGCCTGTGGCTCCACCGGGTGTTAACGCTTCCATCGAGCACTACCAAGAGGTACGCTGTTGCTTTCATTCAGATCATATATACTAAATTCTAACATATGCCTTGATACATTAGTATATTAAATACCTCCAGCTTCAACAAGGGTGGCTCCAGCAGCAGAATATGTCTCTGAATGAGAGCAACAACATTCTTGCTGTGCAACAGCTGAAACGTTCTTGCAAACGCCCATCATCCAGGGTACCATCTGTATCACAAGTATCTGTAGCGCCATCTGTGTCTTCTGCATCCTCCGTCGTAGCTTCTGACTCATTGAAGACGGGTGACATCGACTCGGACAAGCTTATTTTAAGCTTGGCCAAAAAGTATGCACTCACTACCGAGATGTTCCTCCCCGACAAGGTCATTTTTCAAACAGACTGTCCTGATCCTCTAGTCGATTTCTCGAATCCAAATCGTTATGCGAAGAGGTCTACAGAAAAGGATGCACTTGTTGCTGAACTCTATGCATCCATTGACCACGTGTTGCATGCTCGGATGCGAACAAATCTGTTCTTCAACCAGGTGCGTAGTTTTTCCTACCTCAAGTCATTAATATTATCGTTATAAATTTAACCAAAACTTCATTTAGTTTGGGAGCGGAATGCAGCAAGCTCGCTCTTCATTCCTAAACAGCCTGCGTACCATTGCAGGTGGCATCTTCAACATGCCTAACGAATATTTTGTTTCCAAATACGACCATACTTCCCTCCGGCAGGTCACAGACTTGATTGGATGGGAAGCAGGCAAGGGAAAGATGTATGATATCTTCAAGGCACCAATACTTTACCCTGACCACATCGTGAATGAGAAGAAAATTTTCAAAAATTGGATCGTCATCGCAAAGGTAGTCTACTCATCAATAACAGACCCAGCTACTCATATGTTGTTTCGAAGGTTATCAAGGTTGCAATATGTGGAAAGATGTCATTGTATTCCGAAGCGCGTGGCGGACCACCTTCCTATGCCAAGATATGGAAGCTTACAAGCTGCACTCCTGGCCTGATTGCATTTGGCGTCACATCAGTAAGGTTTCAGTACTCTAAATTTATACTGAGCTGATACTCATCACGCCCTGTAGATCATATTCATCCTATCTCCGGACCAGGAATTTTCAGGCGATGGAGTTGGTGCTATTTCCTCGATCGCATATCACTCCGTCTTTCAGACAGTCAAGAAATTCTTCATTGTAAAGTGGGCCCACCAGCGCATCAAATCTATTGTCGACGAAATCAATGGATATGTCTTCGGTAGTACTGTAAAGATGCAGCCATCCGATGACACTCAGTGTACTGTGGAGCGCGTTGTAGGGATTCATTTCTGGTTGGGCTTGTAGAGACTGTTTTTACCTTACCTTATGTTGGCACTTTTGTAGCTTACATAATCAAGCAATCTTTTCACCAGTTACCAGTATGAGTCTGAGAGATCAGCAAGTTTTTATGATATTTCCTCTCCTCTGAGCCTTGAGCCTGGTCCAGAAACCCTTTAGGGTCGAATAGCAGCTAGGTTCTGCAAGACCCAACACATTGTTCAGACTCACCATCTGAATTGTTGTACCTTCAGCGTCACTGAATCACTCGATCACATTATGGCTGCGCTAGATGCCAGCGATTCAGACTCGACCGATGAGTCATTGGAATATGTCAACTTGCAAGAGCAGGCTAATAAAGATGTACACCTTGCCACTGTAGCCGCAGCGCCAACCATCGCAACCTTGCAACCTACTATGTTCACTGTTGACACTCCTCGACTTGAAGTTGCAGCCCCAGGGCCTGCTGTCATTCCACAACCTTCTATCTCAACTCCACCTATTCCGACACCCATGGCACCGCATGCAGAGACTTCGGCCAATCCCCAGGATCAGAGTGAGGATGCATTACCAGCCGCCGGGCTTATTGGTGTTGCCAAATCTCAGGCAAAGACATCCAGGGGCAAGAAGAAACCTAAGTCGTCGGCCAATGATATCACAACTATTTGCCGCTCCTCACGTCACACAACAACATGAAATTAGAGTCCCCTATCTTGTAGTTGTGTTCCTAGTCTTACTATCAAGATCTGATCACACAATTCCTACAGACACGAGATTTTAGCTCCATTGTAATCTGAGAATGTTTAGGTGTCCTTCGACTCGGAATGCATGCATATACTAGCCAAACGCCCCCACATACCCATAATCATGAACGGAGCACTGACGAGCGCGACACCTCAAAGTTTGGCGTTGATCTTCACGCTGGACGCCCCCACATACCCATAATCATGAACGGAGCACTGACGAGCGCAACACCTTGAAGTTTGGCATTGATCTTCATGCCAGACGCCCCCACATACCCATAATCATGAACGGAGCGCTGACGAGCGCGACACCTCGAAGTTTGGCGTTGATCTTCACGCTGGACGCCCCCACATACCCATAATCATGAACGGAGCACTGATAAGCGCGACACCTCGAAGTTTGGTGTTGATCTTCACACCAGATGCTACCACATACCCAGTTTGCGAATTCAGATGCGCCATATTGATAACCTTTCAGCTAGTTCCTAATTACCTTGTCTACAAGGTTGACACTCACAGCCGGAAAGATAAAGTTATGCGGCCGTGGGAAGCAATGGTCGATAAATTTACAATATTGTTACCTTGTATCACTGTAACTAGAACCAGTAACTCTCAACATCCTCCACGGTCTGCTTTACTTTCCACTGTTGCTCTGTCTCCTTCTCCTTCTTGGCCAACATTTATGGTCTGAATCAACCTGCATTCTTCTGGCGCTACCCAAACGTCCGTCTATTGATTTTTCAACCTACAATAAAACACGCTGACTCATTTTATTCGAAGTTACGACTAAGAACATCAACAAGAACAAGGCCGCTGGAATCTGCTAAGGACAGAATGATCACCCACCGGCTCCTGAACCCTCGCGATGTGTTTCAACCCGCAGGTCGGGGGCGAACACTCAACAGGTGATCACCCAGGAGGTACAATGTGTTCAGGCTGCTCAACGAACTTCTTTCCATCTCGTCTTAATAAAGACCGAGACACAGGAGGAAGTTCAAGACGATCGTAATGTCTTCTGATGCTCCCAAGACTGACATAGACAAGCAAACGCAACACGAGGCAGAAGTGGCGGCTGTTCTGGATGTCGATGTGGCACCTGAAGCTGACCTCGATGGTGACGAGTGTGGCGATCTCGATGCTGAGGATTTCGATGATCCATTGATGGTCAGTGAATATGTTGTCGAGATCTTCAAGTACATGAAGCAGACCGAGGTACGAGTCTCCGTATATTTTTATCATTCCGTTGTAATTAATGAAACGCCTTAAGCTTATAACACTTCCTCATCCGAAATACATGGCATCGCAAAAAGAGCTGGCCTGGTCGATGCGTGGAATCCTTCTCAATTGGCTGGTGTAAGTACATGCACGGTTCTGATTACTTCATGCAACTGTGTTCCTCTGCATGAACATTGTCGAAAGGTTCTTGTCAGCACGCGTCGTCTCCCTCGCTAAACTTCAACTCATGGGCATTACGTCGTGTCTCCATTGCTTCCAAAGGTTGAAGAAATTGTTGCACCATCCATCTCGCACTTCCTTCACTGCGCGGACTCATCCTACACTGAATCCGATATCCTTCTCGCAGAGCGGTACATCCTGAAAACAATCGATTGGAACTTGAGCTATCCGAACCCAATGCACTTCCTGTGCCGCACACGCAAATCGGATGATCACAATGGGGAAACACTGGAGTGGCAGTTGCTGGCCACGCCACCTTCCCTGCTGCTGCTGCGCCGACCTGGTTGGGACACCTCATTCTCGGCAACAATAAATGGGTAAGTAGTGTAATATGTGCCATGTTCAATGTTGTTGATAACATTTCCGGGTTCTAGACTCTGAATCATGCCCAGAGCGATGGGAAGCGGGCGAGCGGGTGTCTCTTAGCTAAGTTACTGGCCATTCATGCAAGACAAGGGAGTAGCTAGCGGCAGCAGGCTTGGACAGTGATGAGTATGAAACTTCGTAAGTCCGGTGACGTGCATTATCATTCAATATTCCTTCATCACGACTATCATTGTCCCAACACAACTGACGGTCAGCAGCAAACAGAGCAAGAAGGATGGGGGAGAGGGTCATTTTTACCGATATCATAATGTAGATTAGTATTTGTATTGACATCTCGCAATAAGAATTGATATGCAATGCATGCTCATCACCACCTCGTTAGGATGGCATTAAGACTCGGTTGATATGCATATTAAAACTCAGTGGGTACCATTAAAATGGGCATTAATACTCGGTGGGTACCATTAGAGTCTGTTCGGCCACCATTATTTGCATTATTTGCGCAAGTTAGAATTTGGTTCTGGCTTTGCTAATCGTCGGAGCTTGAACAAGATGTCACGCTCCGATAACGCTTACCGTATGCCTTGTCCTACTATCAATACAATGCCTCTTGATCCTGATTACGACGAGGACGCTAACGAGGACGAATACGACCTTGTGGAGGCAGAGGAGATGGACCAAGATGCAGAGGAGAGTGATAAGAGGTATCTGGCATGCATCATGCAGATGGCCATGCATGCTATGCACATGGTCATTACAGTCCTCAACGCAACAACTACTGCGCTCGAAGCTTACTCAAACACCTACTACGACAAAGAACCGTATCATACCTCCGCTTTGTCAGGGACTGCATGGGTCACCGAACTTCTCACTGGACACCCTGAACGCATCAGATGCGAGCTTGGGGTCCACAAGCATGTTTTCTATGTGCTCATCAATCTCCTTCGGCAAGCAGGTTGCAGAGATTCCAGGCATGTACTGCTCGAAGAGCAGCTTGCTATATTTCTCTATGCGTCTGTCACGGGTCTCTCGATTCGCCATCTTGGTGAACGCTTTCAGCGGTCCAATGAGACAATATCAAAGTACATATATTGTTGCTGTCCTGGTATCAAGCTTATGTTCTTTCAGGTATTTTAAACAGGTTCTTTTCGCATTCTCCTCGCCACCGATATATACGACATATGTCTGCCTGCCCGATGTAGATAGCCCTCCTCCCCCCGAAATCACGAAAAACCCGAAGTTCTTCCCGTTCTTTGTTGATGCTATTGGAGCCATTGACGGTACACACATCGCATGCCATCCTTTTGGTGAAGATCGGCATGCCGCTCGGGATCGCAAGGGGAACTTCTCTCAAAACTGCCTCGCGGCATGTTCATTCAACCTTTCATTTACCTACATGTTGAGCGGTTGGGAGGGGTCAGCTGCAGATGCTCGTGTCTATCACGATGCTCGTACTACCAATTTCAATATCCCTGAGGGAAAGTATTATCTTGCGGACGCTGGTTTTGGCTCGTGTGATGAGCTTCTGGTCCCGTTTCGGGGCGTGCATTATCATCTTGCAGAGTGGGGTCGTGCTAATACTTTGTATGATGCATTCTGCTAGTACCATTCATACTTATGTTCACATTGTTACATAGGCCTCGTAATCGCAAAGAACTTTTCAATTTGCGTCATGCAATGCTTCGAAATGCTGTTGAGCGCATTTTTGGTGTCATCAAGCGCCGATTTCGTATCCTTCTCCTCCCACCAGAGTACAAAATGGACATTCAAGTGCGCATTCCTCCTGCCTTGTGTCTCGTGCACAACGTTATTCGAGTTCACGATCCAAACGACATGATGGACTATCGTAATGTCTTAGATGCGCACATTCTCACTGACACTGGAAACCTTGCTAATGGTCCTCCTACTGAGCACGCACGCACTCGTGCGAGCCTCCGTCGTGACCAGATTGCTAGTGAGATGTGGGAGGCCTACAACAGGGAAAGGATTCAGAGGGGGGAGCAGGCAATCATAGAACCACTAGTACTGTAGTCGCGTTAATACCATAGCCATTCGGACCCTCATCGATGACTATGATCCAAAGTATCTCTGTCAAATGATGACATTGTTGTCAGATTAAGACCAGATCCTCATCGATGACTATGATCCAAAGTATCTCCATCAAATGATGACATTGTTGTCAGATTAAGACTGGATCCTCATCAATGACTATGATCTATAGAAATAGTGATATTGCTTTGCTACTACAAGTACAATACAAGAGAACATGACACGACAAGAATCCATGTAACACTACTTTGAATGCTGCTCTAAAAACAACCGCCAAAGACTATCTACCTCAATAGCAAGATAAATATCAATGATAGCGATGTCGGTCTGAAATTTATTCAAGATATTGAGTAGTTGTACGTCCTCTAGACCCTCACTCTGCAACTTTTTCACTGCCTTCTGCCTGCGCAAAGGGATGGGATCTACTGATCGCGCCAAGGTGTTGGAGGTGTTGGCCTCAAGAGCATTGGCCGTGCGCTTGAACGTTGTGTTAAGACCGCCAATACTGGTCCCCATCTGCTGGATGGCCACAGGCATCGTCAGGCATGCAGACTTCGCCGAGTCTCCCGATTTCGTTGAATGTGGGGGGCGGGTAACGATATCAAGCGTACTTTCATCATCATCAATCAGCTTCCGTTTACCGGAAGCTGTTGATGATGGCGCACTAACACAGACCGACTCAAGGGAGGGTTGCTGTGCGGCATCGAATGGAGGGAGGCTCTCTGGGGTGAGGGGGGTTGCGCGCTGGCCGCCTGAAACTAGAGCCGGGGAACTCGATCCCATCGAGCACATCTCCAAGGTCCATCATATGGACCTCATCAAAAGAAAGGGGGGTGGCTGCGCTGCTAGAAGAAGGCGAAGGAATGATGGGAGGTTGTGTCGCGATGGTGGCAAAGAACGAGTTGTTGTTACCTGACTTGACAGGTATGAGACCTTTCAGCGCCTCATAGTGCTTCCAACCCTTGTCCCGGAGGCCTTTGGCCTTTGGATTTTTCTATTGATTCATAGTAATTAGCATTGTCGTAGTAGTTTGATGCGAATTGAAATCACTTTACCTTCACAAAGTCAGTCCACATGTTTTCGGACTCTGGGGTGATCGAAGCTCCGCATTCCATGCTGTAAGATAGTCCGGAAGCAGTTGGCCACTTTGTCGACGACGTTGAATGTACCACAGAGCTGAAATTTGATCATTAGTGAGGGTACCAAGGCTGATATAGTAGTAGTACATACCCGCCCCCATTTTGATTGACATGCTGCCGCTGTTTTGCTTGCACCCGAGCAGGGGTGTTTTTCCATTTCAGCGGCAGCAGCAACCCAAAATGTGTGATCAAAGTTCATACCATCACCACCTTGTGAGCGGTTGGTGGTGACATACTGGATGAGGATGGTTTCATCTGCCTCTGTCCACACACACCGATCTCTCGCTTCCGTTAGCTCTGCACCACCACGGGCACTTTTTCTGCCCCGAGACATCCTGTAAGAGTTGCGATGATGGATAGATTGTAGACGGGTAACAGGCATGCCTACTACTTAGTATTGATTGATGGTCACACTGTGACCAGCACGGTCCTATGATTATGAAAGCAAAACATAGATTCTAAACCTGCGTAAACTGGCGCAAATATTGGTGGCCAAACAGACTCTTAAAATGGGCATTGATACTTGGTGGGTACATTAAAATGCCTATTATGTCATCATGTCGATGTGCATTTAAATGGGTCAAAATGCTGACTGTTTGATCAATAATGTATTATAATAGGTCCGTGTCGTTAGGCCATTTTAATGGATTAAAATGCCAGTAAAAAAAGTTCCGACATATGAGCAATTTTTGTGATGCAAGACCTGTAGTGGCTAAGCGCTAACCCCCGACTGGTCTTCGTATCAGCCATATTGACAGCATTATGACTAGAGCACGGCCATCATGAATTAGCTCTCTGGAACACTTTTCATCTGCACGATCTACTGTTTACTGTTCGTCGTAGCTAAGTTTACGAGCCTCACCCAGCAGCTGCAAGTGGGTCACTCAAATTGCCATGAAGCCACAGCAAGATTCTCACGCACATGTCGCCCCCACCTGAGTCTGTCAGCATCTCCCATCAGGCCAGTTACTATTAGAGGTACTCAGAGTAAAAATTTAAACGTCGCTAAATGTCGCTAAATGTCGCTAAATGTCGCTAACTCTCGGTTAGAGATGGACAAAACTCGAGCAGTAAGACTCGGCATATGCATCGGCATGATGTCAGACATTCAAACGACACTTAGTGAAACGAAAGTAGCATAGGCAAAGTAGATAAGATTTCAAGAAAAAAAATACTAAGTCGATATCTACATGTAACAGTGAGGGTACGTGCTGTAAAGTAAAAAATCTACTGCTGCGTGCATCAATAAAATTGGAACGATCCTCGTCAACTGGAGGAGGATGGCACAAGGTGGTATGAGACACCCGAAGACGCAGAAGGTGTTTGAGGAGTTTCGGAGGGAGTGCCTGGTGTGATAGAAGCGCTTGGCGGTTCTGTGAGGAGGTGCGCTGCGCGCGAGTTGAGTGCTGCATGAGGGAGTGCTTGGCGTGTTGGAAGCGCTTAGGGGTTCGGTGAGGGAGTAGGGCAGCGTGAAATGCCTGGAGACGTGGAGGGTGTTTGAGAAGGAGTTTCGGAGGGCGGCGGTTGAGAAGGAGTTTCGGAGGGTGTTTGAGAAGGAGTTTCGGAGGGTGTTTGAGAAGGAGTTTGGGAGGGCGGCGGTTGAGAAGGAGTTTGGGAGGGCGGTTGAGAAGGAGTTTCAGAGGGTGTTTGAGAAGGAGTTTCGGAGGGCGGCGGTTGAGAAGGAGTTTGGGAGGGCGGTTGAGAAGGAGTTTCAGAGGGAGTACCTGGCGTGATAGAAGCGCTTGGAGGCTCGGTTAGGGAGGTAGGCAGCGTGAAATGCCTGGAGACGCTGAGGGCGTTTGAGAAGGAGTTTCGGAGGACGGTTGAGAAGGAGTTTGTACGTACCTAGCATGTTAGAAGCCCTTGGCGGTTCGCTGAGGGAGGTGGGCTGCGCGCGAGCGTCGTTGAGTGCTGAGTGAGGGGGTGTGATGATCACGAGGTACATGAGCACAGCAAGCTGAAACACCGGAATTTGCCGAAATTTTCAAACTCCCCCGCAAAGTGCATCACATATGCCAGGGATAGACAGGAGTTTTGATCCCCTGATTCCCAACATGCCTCGTCAGTCAAAGCGTGCACAAATGCTGCATGACATCGATGTATCTGCACTTGCAGTAGCCACAGCCCGATACCAACATCTTCTGGAGGATGACGAGTCTACTACAGACTCTGCCTCGAGTCTCGACTCTTTCGATCTTACCCGTGACTCAGACCTTGACCTTTTCATGAGCATCATGTTAACCCCTCCATCTCCTCTTTCTCCAGTTTTATCTGGCTTCTCCAGTTCTTCCTCCGACTCTTTCTCTGATGACTCATCTGATGATGACATCAACCATACCACTGCTCACTACGACCGTCTTCAAGATTCCATTGCAAGTCTTTGGGATGAGGTAGAGAGGGCACGTGTGCTCCATAGACCCAGTGAGCCTATCCCACGAGCCTCACAGCTGCACCTCCTTGTCCATTTTGGGGAACATCGCCCTCATCTATTTCGTCGTAAACTACGTGTCGACCCCGAAATTTTCGATGACATCCTCAATCTCATTTCTGGCCACCCCATTTTTCATAACAATTCCAACAACCTCCAGCTTCCGATCTCTATTCAACTTGCTATTTTTCTCAACCATGTCGGCCACTATGGTAATTCTGCCACTCTCCAGGATGTATCTGAATGGGCTGGTATTAGTGTTGGGTCTGTGGTTAACTGCACCAATCGTATAATGGTTGCACTGCTTGACCAGCATGATGCCTTCATGGGTTTTCCCCCACCTGATTCACAGGACTTTGAGCTTGCTCGGCAATATACTGCACGGGTGACCACTTGCCCTGAGTGGCAGAATGGAGTCCTAGCTGTTGATGGGACATCAATTGACCTGTATGAGACACCTGGATTTTATCACCAGTCTTTTTATGACAGGAAATCCAAATATTCCCTGGGCTGTCAGGTATGTTTTTTTGGTTAATTTCATGGTTAAAAATTAAAATAAATTCAAGGCAGTCATTATGCCCCACAATCTTCTCATAGTTGATTATTCTCTTGGTCACCCTGGAAGCATCCATGATGCATACACATTCAGATCTACTCGTATCTATCAAGAACATGACACACTTCTTCCAGCTGGCCACTGGGTCTGGGCAGACAGTGCTTATCCACTGGACACCTGGTGCATTGCCCCTCTCAAGAAGCCCCGCAATGGACGGCTGACAGCAAATCAGAGGACATTCAATTATCACCTTTCTACAGTTTGTCCCTTTATTTTTCCATTTTTTTCTGATTTAAATTTGATTTATCTAGGTCCGTGTACGAGTGGAGCATGCATTTGCTGCATTGAAAGGGCGGTTTCAATCTCTTCGAGATCTCCGACAGAATATCAATTCAGCAGATGACTTACGGACAGCAGTCCATTGGATTCAGTGTTGTCTGATCCTACACAACATGATCATACGGTTTGAAGAAGAACATGCTCTGACAGAGGACCAGGGATCAGTCAAGTGGTCTTGTCAAGAGGCTAGAAACTTTATGTCTCAAGAGGCAGCTGAAGGACCAGATGGTAATGACCAAGTAGGTGATAGGTTATATGAAGGGACTCCAGGTCATGCTCGTCGTGAGAGGTTGATGGATCTCTTGTTTGACAGCCCTCACTCAAAGGCACAACGTAGACAGGGATAGCAGTTGTAGTTACAAATTTCCACTTGAATATGTTTTCTTGGCTCTGAAGGTGTGATGCTTGACATATGTTTTCTTGGATAAGTAATGTTTGATAACCTGAGGAGATGTTAGATGGTACATATAACTAGTACACTTGCTAGGATAAGCAGTGTACTAGTTATATGTACCATCTAACATCTCCTCAGGTTATCAAACATTACTTATCCAAGAAAACATATGTCAAGCATCACACCTTCAAAGCCAAGAGGAAACACCATCATGGTCCATTGAAAACTAGTAGTACATGAACTATCAACATAACATGAACAGGACTAATGGTTAACATAACAACATATGTAGTATGAAGGACAGCATGAGATATGTGATGCAAAAGGACAACAGTAAGACTACAACAACACCCTCAAGAGTTAGAACCGCTCATCAAACGTTGGTACTCAATCTTCAGCTGAAGTGCTCTTGCCTCCTCAGCATGCGCATGTGCCAGCGCAGCATGCATCTTCGCCTCCACGAAGCAGAGGCGAATCTCCGTATCCTTCGCTTCCTGGGAGCGCTGATGAGTGGCGACAGCTTCCTTGTCACAGTGTACACGCTCCTTGCGCAAAAACTTGTGCTCATTTACCTGACGGGCGAGGTTGTACTTCGCCATGTAATGCTCGTTCTTGAGCTCGCCCCGAGTGATCCGGTCCGACTGGACGCTTCCGATCTCGTCGTTGAGCCGGTTCAGGTCGCCTTGAAGATCCGACCGCACCCGTTTCACCTGCCTCCCTTTCCCCTTGGAGGATGGGAGTTGTGACGTCTGGGAGGTGGAGGCAGGTGCCGACATCGTCGTTTTCGACAGCGAGGAGCTGCTGGACGAGGGTTTTGGCGAGTTGGCGCTGGTCCGGCTTGTCCTCGACACGCGCTTGCCGAAGGCAGCGCGACTATCATGGAGGGAGGTCTGCGATTTTGGGGGAAGGACGAATGATGATGACTTGGGTGAGGGGGAACGAGATGATGAGGGGGATGCAGACTGACGTGCCCGACGTTTGGAGGCTCTGGGCTTGGGGGGGCTGTTCAAGATGGTGACGTCACCCTCCTCTTCCCAGTAATTTGACGTTACGGGAGGCTGCGGCTGTGGCATGTCGTCGAAGCGAAGGTCCATGTCCATGTCCTCGTCGTATCCGTTGCCGACGTAATTGTTGTCACAATACGTATCAGACTCGGAGGGGGCAGGCGCGGGAGGGTGAGAGCGAGCGATGATGCCAGGATGGGAGGGATGGTACCCAGATGGCGAGGAGGAGGAAGCGAAGGGGGGGACAGTAAAGGGCGCCTGAACAGAGGGCGCAGAGGGCGCAGAGCCAAAGGGCGCCTGGCCAGAGGGCGCAGAGCCCAAGGGCGCCTGGCCAGAGGGCGCAGAGCCCAAGGGCGCCTGGCCAGATGGCGCAGAGCCCAAGGGCGCCTGGCCAGATGGCGCAGAGCCCAAGGGCGCCTGGCCAGAGGGCGCAGAGTTGAAGGGCGCCTGGCCAGAGGGCGCAGAGTTGAAGGACGCCTGGCCAGAGGGCGCAGGGTTGAAGGGCGCCTGGCCAGAGGGCACAGAGTTGAAGGACGCCTGGCCAGAGGTCTGGGCACCTTGGGTGAGAGCGAAGAAGTTAGCAGCATGATCAGTTCCAGGGCGTGATGAGACGGTCTTGACAGATAGAGCAGGGTTTGTCCCCATGATGGAGAGGAGCTCGTCATACCACGGGAACGTATGTAGTACTTGCGCTGTAATTTTTATTAGTTTAATCTGATTAAATATAAATATAAAAAACATACCGTGCAGATTTTGAGCGACGTCGTTTGGCATGACGCCGGCACCCGTCAAGTTTAATTTGTCGTGACATTCACAAAACCTTTTTTTGAGACTGGAGGGAATGTTAGTACACATGTGAATCGATATGAAAAATCATACCTCATGATATGATTGTTGGTCGAGTCGCGAAACTTATCCGGCACCTCAGCGTATTGCGCCGCATAGTTAGGATCAGCCTGGAAAACATGGCGGGCGACGACAGAGCAAACCGAGAGTTTATCCTTGCCCGATGGGCGATCACCCTCAGTATGCGATTGTTTCCCGTCCGAAAAGAACAGAACTCGGCAGTCTGCTGGATGGTTGCGGAGGTACTCGATAACCCTCTGGGTGTGAGAGGGGTCCGCCTGCCACTGCACGACGAGCTTGGGTGCCTGGGCAGCATGATCGTTACCTCGAGTACTCCGAGATTTTCCTCGGCCACGGGTGACGGGTCCTTGGTTGTAGTCCATAGATTTGGGCTGCAAACGCTTGAGGCGTGCAGAACGACGAGGACGTGGTGGTCGAATGACAGGCATAGTTTTCGAAGTCCGAAACTATGCCGATGTGCCGCATGTCCTATGCGTGTTGTTCCTGCCCGAATTGTCAGTTTCTAACCGAAGTTACCGAGCTTTACCGAGCTTTACTGAAAATTCCCATTTTACTCTGAGTACCATTATTGGAGACCAGCGACAATCAAAATTGCTGCAGTCTACACATTTCCGATATTCTCGTGGTCTATTAGACCTGGTTTCGTTGGACGAAACCCATCTCTGAGACTTGTGTCTCCTTAGGAACTCCCTAATAGGCACGCGGTACACCAGCACCACGGACTCATTTACTACAGACCGGTTATTTCAGACGCCTCGATAGAGGATGAATATTCTCGCAAGCTGTTCTTTGCCGTGCAAAGTGATGAGTGGCAGGGGGTACCAGGCTAACAAACGCCACCCCCGCCTTCCACAGCCCACGCTGCCTACTGCCCAAACAACGAACCCCACACATAAGACCGGCAAATAGAGCTTGCGTGCAAGATCAATTTACCTTCACCGATGGCCGTATCCTCTGCCAGATTTAAGGATAGGCTACTCGCTCACATTAATCAACATGTTTCCCTCGTTAGCTCTTGGTTTCCTCGTGGCCGGCATTACTGCAGTCGCTGCAGCCAGCAGCAGTAGCTGCGTCGGAAAAATCTCATCCTTAGACGACGTTAGCAGTGCTATCCAATGCACGACGGTCAATATTAATGTGTTCACCGTCCCTGGTGGAAAAACATTCGAATTGCAGCTGCTGGACGGTACCACTGTCAACGTTTGTGAGCGTGATCTGATACTTCGCTTTTGCGCATCCCTGATTCTTTTTAGTGGGCGAGATTCAGTTCGGAAATTTAAGCTGGGCCGGTCCCCTATTCCGGGTGATGTGAGTGCAGGCACTGCTACTCCAAGTGGCTCAGAGAACCTGATCAAGGCCGTCTTAACAGAGGGAATGATGTTACTTGTAGGTGGTTTATTCGAAGTCGTGGCAATCCCTAACGTTCTCAGTCAATGGAAACAACCAGAGGTGGGATGGTGGAGGACCTTTTTACTGGGTAAATATGCTGGTTCACTCGCGAGGATTTTGCTTCATCTTATACTGATACAGGATGGTCAAGGTGCCGGTATCACAACACCACACCCAATGATGCAGTAAGTTCATTGATTACTGTTGTGCTACATTCTTTTTTAATCTTACGTCTGCCAGAATATCAATCTCGGGCACCTTGAACGTATGCGCTTGAATCGCCTCGGCCGTTCCAGGCAGATCGCTAACTGTTTACGCAGAACGTTTATGTCGTAAACTCTCCCTCCTCCGCCTTTGCGATCACAAATCCAGGACCTCTCACTATCTCTGGCGCCACTGTCGATGATTGTGGGTAGTTGCATGTTATCAGCGGTGTCTCATTTTGACGTCAAGAACAGTGCAGGGTAACTATCCCAACTCGCGAAGCGGAAACGCCACTGCTGGTAAGTGACGCGTTCATCTATCGGACAGTTTTGAACTTGCTGGCCGACAAGCACACAACACCGACGGCTTTGATGTTAGCGGTAGTGATATACTCATTCAACATTTGTTTGTCTATCCTCTACTTACTCGACCGACTCAGGCACTTACGGGGATTCAGCACTGTCCTCAATCAGGTCCGTCTGACGATTGACCTTGCACGTCCCTTCGCCTATGAGGTGTTTCTTCTTGCAGGACGATTGTTTAGCTATCAACAGTGGAACAAATATCACATTTGCCGACAACTACTGTGAATATGGTCACGGCATCTCCATTGTGAGTCACTTCATCAATTTTGCGAACCCAATTATTGAAATATTCCTCGTCTAGGGCTCCATCTCATCAAACGCCGTCGTCTCCGATATCAAGATAATCGGAAACCATGTTGTTAGCAGGTGACTACGGCACAATGGTGAATTAGAGTCGTACTGACACGAGTAGCGCATTCTCGTTCCGTATCAAGACCGATGCATCTGCGACAAACAGTATAGTGAAGAACGTTACGTATAGCGTGAGTGGTTTTCATGATGATGATGAGGATTCTGGATTGAATTTTTTGTAGGACAATACTGCAACCAACTGTACTGGTTTTGGTGTTCTGATCACCCAGGTACGCGTGTTTTACCACGCTCTCCTGTCGTCAATCATATCACATATCTACAGAGCTATCCCACCAACCTGGGTACCCCGGGGAACGGGGTCAGTATCTCTGTATGTTTTCTTTCAGTTTTACGTGGACGAGGGTTTCACGGGTTGTCTCAGGATATCAACTTCAACCATGGCACTACTTCTGTGACGGCCAACCGCGGCGCTTACAGGGTTGCAGTGAACTGTGGAAGTGGATCGTGCACAGGTACACGAGTTACAGTTTCTGTCAGTCCATTTCTGACGTACGATGATAGGTGACTGGGATTGGTCTGGTTTGCAGACAAGTGGTGGTAAAGCTGGATCCATCGTCAACAATAATCTCATTGCTGGATTCGTTGACACACGGTGAGGTGATTCACGCTATGTTGATTTATACACTCTACTTCTCCTGTCGTTCTTGCTTGTTGGAACTATATAGTGGTTCACCATTGTCACTCAACCATTGTTATGTAACGTAGACTCATATTGACTTAGACTAGACTCACCACACTGGAAGTTGTTCTAGTGAGCTGGCGCTTAGCATTCTTGTGGTTACAAAAACATACAGCTACATGCAGATATTGCTCTTTTTTTTACACATTCTTGTTGCACTGTCGTTTGTGATATACATATACTTAGAAATTGGAACTCCGAGTCTGGAGAAAGTTGATCAAACATACCTACCATTTCTTAGAGGAGTACGTAAGAGGCTTGAAAGCATTCATGTTTGGTTGTTCTAATCCTCCTTAAGCTTCCAAAGTCTTTCTCTTGAACAGCTGTAAAGCATCTTTTGATACTTCAACTGTAGCCAGATAGGAGGTTGGCATGGAGAAGTCGAACATCTGTCACTCGATATCCACGTCTTCCAGTCACTCAAGAAACATCAGCACGCCATCCAGTTCTCCGTCAGTTGGTACCGAAGTCTATCACGATATATCAAGACCACGCATCGGAATCTCATTAGTTGGCCAAGGAAGCCTCACCGAACTTTTTACGAGCTCCAATTTACGCGCATATATCCACACTGGATACCTGCCTTCTGATTTTAGTCCAGTTTCTTCAGTCACTCCCGGCTACGAACACGAGTTGGACGACATATCTGGAAGCCCACCACCACCTTCTTCTTCCCCGATTGCCTACCCAGAACTTCTTCCTCACGAAGACAAAAATGAGGAGACGACCTGTCATTCCCCTTCGGGCTCTTGCAGATACCCCCCAGGTTCACCTGCTCATGCTGAAGCGGAGTCTGCGAATATTACGGACAGCTCAAGAACGAAACGTCGACTGCTCGGCAACACTCCAGAACATATGCCGTTTGTTCAATTTACCTCTGAGGCTCCTTCCGCCAGATTCCAGTTGGAGAAGAAGTCCATGGTCAAGCCCTCAATTCCTTTGTTGACCGGCCTTGCGCGCCACGGCAGAATGTGTTCTGAGCGGCGTTCGAATTCTTATCATACCATGGTACATCCATCGAGTCGGCCAAGAACCAATAAAACTTTGAGCATAGCAAAGTCACTACCAGGACCCCAATCGATCATTGGCGACTCGAGCGAAGGACATTTCAACAACCGCAGAACTCTTCCACTTGAGGACCTAGGAGAATATGTGGAGCAGGAACCTCCAATAAAGAAAGTTAGGATCTGTCGTCTAGCTAGTGATCGTCCTGATCTACCCAAGATACGGACACATTTTTTGGCCAAGGAACCAGCCAGTCTACGCAGAGCCCAGTCTCTTGTTTCACAAACTTCTACTGATAGGGACGACGAGGACGTAGTCAAGGTTCGTTAAAACGATCCCTTGTCAAAATTTCGTGTATGCTTCTTCGCGTGGAAGTTGACGACGCGCAATAAAACAGCTTTTGGACGGACCGAACCCTTCAACTGGATCGCCTCTTCCAACCATCTACCCGACAGTTCAACTCGATTCGCCTATATGCCCCCCTACTGTACCAATCACACCTCTTCCTGACACAGTTAGCTATTTTCGTGCAAAGAGAAACCCTCTTTTGCGTACTCCCGCCGTCCGCGCGCCTTCTAAACAATTGCCGAGGATACCACCTGTCCCTATCATCGCGCCTCCCAGGTCTCCTAGCCCTTTCATGATCAAGTGTGAGGAAGATTGGGCGGGCGATCGGATCAAGATTCTTCTCACGAAAGAAAGAGCAGAGCGTGAAAGCGATGGCCTGGGCCTTCCTCTAATTCCTGATGATTGCTCGAACCGAAGCGAGAGTGAAAGTTCTGTTTCCGACGACGAATACTGGGCCGACTCGCCTTCCGTCTCTGAATCCGAATCCGTGGCAAGTCAAAAGTCAGATCCATCTCTGGGCACAGAAAAGTTTCGAAATCGCGAACAATGGTCAAGGGCGCTCGGACTGGACGATTCCTTCCGCAAAGAAGTCGTTGGTTGGATGTTGGATGCATGAGTGGATCTACCCTTTGTAATTGAGCTTGCTGACAAACTCACAGGTCCTTCCGAACATCCCTCCGATGAGAAATGACAGCGTCGACATCGATGACCTTTTTGACCAATTGGACACCTGTCGAAACACAAGGTTTCACGCGGTTCATCTCTTTCATAGATATTTCTTCCGCGTTGCAGATAAGAAACTAAGTATCAACCTATCAACGATTGCGTCGCCTGCCCAATCTTCAAGAGGGTGCGACGACTCTTCGACAAATAGCAGGGCATCGAGTTCGGAAGATAGCGATGACGAATCCACCGGCGAAGACTGGGATAACGAATTGGATGCTGCATCTGATGATACAGTCGTAGTGAAAGGAGAACAGGTAAACAGATACGAATCCGAGTCAGACAATTGGCAAGATGGTCAGGAGGCGGTTATATGGGATACCGCTCTTGGATCATTAGCGTTGTGTGTCAAGGTAAGACTATTTGTAGATCAACATTCATAGAACTCTTATTTGCATTTGGCAGTTTCATCGTGACTTCTTGTGCCCACTTAGTCCCGTATATGCATACGAATTCTTGGATTTAGCACGGCATTCCATGTCATATCAGGACCTCGAGGTATCATTCCATTGACTCGTCATGCGTTAATACGGTCTCTTTTCCTCATGCTATGGTTACTCATCAGGTTTCACAACGCGATATACTTGCCGCTTTCGATTTCTGTATCGGTAGCATCACACCGCAAGGTTTCATGGATGAACTCTGGCTAGCTTTACCTACGCTACGGAAGGCTACAGAACCTGTGAAGGATGGCTGGAAATCGGTCCAAGCTGAAATATGGGATAGGCTGTTTGACGCCTTAATAGGTACCCTCTCTTGATCATATTTTATCAGCTATAGCATTAAGTTTGACCATGCTCCAGAACCTGACGTCCTACAGTTTCCTATTTCGCTGCTAACTGCCTCTGCCGTGATCGACGGTCTCATCATTGCCATCGCTCGCTATTACAAAGCTACAGCACGGAACTCCGGGTGTCGTTGCTCTCCGTCGTTAAGTTGCACGCTAGAAAACACCACCAAGCAAGTTCCCTGGCAGGTGTATGTATCCAAAGCGATGGATATGGTGAAGGATGTCGTTTTGGATGTAAAGGATGTTCTTCAAATATGTGATGTGAGTGTCGTTCATTATATTCGGCCTAATGGAAAGCTACCTAACGTTTTAACCAGGACGATTTGGACCGCTGTAGAGCATGGATGAGCCAGGTCTAGTTTTTTTGTGCCTTCGTTTTCTTCACATCCGATTTTCCTACATCATATTGATGATTGATGAGTTTCGTTGTTTGTATTTTTGTTGTTGCGTGTATTATTGTGTAATTACAGAATTTTCAAGAATCACCAAGACGACTTGCGCAGGAGGGTGAATTGCCCTGTTGATTTTGGAAACACGTGACTGACATATCACAGTCCATTTGTCAAGCACAATATTTATATTGAATGTCCCAGGACACATATACTCACCTCGCGTCCAATATCCTGGAATTGCTTGCCATTCAATGTTTTGCCAACGAACCATACATCCGACTGGAGATACCGAATAGAGCATCACCCTGACTGGTTCCGTACTTTCTGCCTCGTTCTTTGTGGAACCCGTGGTTTGATAAAATCCGTTTATGTAGTACAGATACTGATAGTCTCCTTCCTGTGTTCACCCCACAGACGTGTTGACTCAGAAGAAGGGCCGCCTACTCATTCTACAACAATCAGTTCCGCCACTTCCCGAACAGTTTACTAGACGACACCTGTTTCCTTTCCTGCGCTTCATGATAATCCTGTTTTTTTTTACTTGCGCGTTTCTTGTACCAAATAACTCATGATGATTCAGAGTTTACCTATGCAAGCATTTGTGAGGTAGGCATCGGTGACTCGATTGTAAGATATTCGGACGAGCTGGGTCATCATCTTTCTCCAGAAAATCTACATGAAGACTCTAGTTAGCAAACACATTTCGAAAGTCGCAGGCCATCTCCTGGGAGGATTTATGGAAAGACAGGCAGATAGATAAAGTAAAGCCAGTGCCGAGCACTGTCAGAATGCTTCCAGTTCATCTAATGTCAGTTCTTTCGAACTCGCGACGATGATGACGAAAATCGTGGGCGTTGGGAGGTTGGTGGTCGATAGGAAGGGGCGATCTATCAATATCCGTAGCTTGACCCGAGCCACGTCGTAGTATATATCTCACTGCCAGAATTGATATTGGCGATTGCGAGGCCCTAAGTTGGCGGGAATGGATGAGATCGAGCAACAAGTCAAGCTTAAGCAAGTCTTGTGATCGCGTAGGGGAATACGTTTGGAATACATAAAGGCGTGGGAACGGGCTGTCCAGATCAATGTATACTCCTACACTTGGACAAGCGAATGCGAGCCTGAGAATCGAATTCATCGGAATCGTTTCATAATTGTCTTCTTCTCTGCTTTCTTCTTGTTTTCATCTTCACGACCGCACGACCACCGTCGCCAATCGGGGCCAGGTGACCTGCCTGCAACTTTTCCAGAAAAAATATATATCATCATCTGCTTGTTATACCCGATACCATCATCTTCTCCATCTTACAGATTCGCAATCACGACGCCGATTCCTAATTGAACCTTCAATTAATCCGGTCAACGATGGCACCAGGTCCAAAGACAGGCCCTGCGCTATTTCTCGGACTTGAACTTGCTACCGATCAATTGCGCGCTTCGATCGTGGATGAGAGCTTGGAGCTTGTGGGAGTAGAATGCGTTGATTTTGACACCGAATTACCTGAATATCAGTACGTGCTCTCGTGTATATTCTGTTCTTCTCGCTGTCAGTAACTTGGATCCCCAATTGTTGCGACATATGCTTTCTTCATATCGTTTCTAAAGTCATTTTATTGGAGAGCTAATATTTTAATAGAACTCAAGGAGGGATTTTTACTACTCCAGGAGATGCATACACCACGCCCGTAGATATGTGGGTCAAGGCTCTTGGTGCGTAAACTGGCGGAAGCAAATTTTTTTTGCTTCGACTTAACCAATTTGGATTTTTGGGTATTTCTCCGATCACTTACCACGTGCGCGGGAACATTGTTTACTTCTCCCCTAAACACAACCGGCAACAGACTTTTTACTGGAAAAATTGACTAGGAATCACGATCTAACGAGAATAAAATCAATTGGCGGTTGTGCTCAGGTGACTTGCTCGCATTAAGCTGTGAAGAGTCCGTCCTGATGTGATCCATGTAACTTTACAGCATGCTCTCGTGTGGTGGAAATCGACACCTATTCCTTCATTTCCAGCGCTGGACCCGCGACTCCCGTTTCACTCTCAACTTCCTCCCAACACTTTCTCATTACCGAATACACCAGTCGCTCAGGATACATCCGCACACACCCATGCCCTCGCCCTCGAAGCCCTACTTGGGGGGCCAGACCTCATGGCCGCTCGCGTCGGCACATGCGCTAACGCATCACTCTTAGCTGCCCAACTCCTCCGAGTTCGCGAATCGTGGACATCTGATGTCTGGTCACGAACGGGGAAGATACAGCTTGCCAGCCAATTTCTTGCAAGTATGGTCGTGGGGGAGTGGGTAAATATGGGAGAGTCAGAGGCCTGCGCGACCGGTATGTGGGTGCATGTCAGTGCTGGTGCTGGCACACAAGGTGCGCCTGGACTGGGCCGCTGGGACGAGGGTGTTTTGGAGATCGTAGGTGGGAGTCGGGAAGAAGGTCGGAGAATCCGAACATGGCTGGGCGACGTGGAGGTCGCTAGTGGGAGAAAAGTGGCCCATATCTCGCGATACCTATGTGAACGATACGGATTCGAATCCGGTGAGATTCATTTGCTACAATGTGTGTGCAACCCACTGATGAAATTTGCAGATACGATCGTCACTCCCTTCACTTCTGATTACCTTTCCTCATACCTATCTCTCTGTCCATCTCCTGGAGATGCAGTGCTTTCATTTGGACCAATGGATACCCTTATTACTCCTGCTCAACATTACCTACCAACTCGACTTTACAGCCTATTCCCCCATCCTGCTCAGGATGCCAGCGAAAAGCGACGATACATCGCCATGTTGAGCAGCAGGTATGCAATCACATAGCCTCACATCTTCACAGCTTCTCACGTTTGCTTGCAGAAACGCTGACGTTCCGCGTGCTCTTGTAAGAGATATGTACACCAAGAGTTGGAGTGCGTTTGATCGGCTAGTTGCCATCGTGCCACCTGGTGGATCCATAGGGTACGTTCATGTCAACGAGTATTTATATGATTTCTCTGAAATTCTTTGCAGGCTCGATGATAAGCTCTTCAGTTTTTGGCTTCTACAGGGCGACAGTTACCCACTATCACACGTCAAAGGCATCTATCGCTTTGAGACTGGTATCAAAGTCAACGAGTTCCGAGACCTTCGTGCAAACCCTCGGTGTCTTCTAGAGAGCCAGGTCCTCTCATTCCGCTTTCGATGGTCAAAGATGATTGCTACCGGTGTTCTTGGTTCGAATAACAACCGGTCTCGGGGGAACGTTGCCCAGACACCTGGTCCTACATCGCCACAAGGGCAGAATCCCCGTTCAAACATCGCATCCAGCCTTGGACTCTCCTTCGATCCATATGATTACTCCCCCCTCCCTGCAAGAATACTCGTCACTGGCGCAGCTGCCAACTTCCCCTCCGTTGCAAATCTTGCAGGCGATGTGTTCAATGCACCCGTATTCATGCCCAGTACCCAGGTTGATTCTGCTCAAGTAGTACCCCACCGCAACGCACCTGCTGCTGGTTTCCCTGGCCGTGCATCACTTGGGGGTGCTTATTTCGCGCGGTGGATATGGGGAAAGGAACGTAGTTCTGCTATTGGTGGATCAAGTACCGGTCGAGGACTCGGCGGATTTGAGGAGGAGATTAGGAGGTTACATGGAAAACGCTGGGTCGCAAGCAGTGGTACCCCGCTGCGGACCAATGTGAATACTCCTGTGGGTGGGAACGGAGGCAGTGGAGCCAACAGCGGTACTAGTACTCCCTACGGCCATCGCTCGGGACTGGGTTCCACTGTATTTGTCGAGGAAGAGGAAGAAGAAGTGGAGGAGATGGAACGTGCAGGCGGTATGCTCGCCTCCTCAGTGTTTGCAGGTGGCTTCGCAGACAGGGATCTTGGCAGGGACATCAGCCGCATGAGAACGCTCACAGGTTCTACGCTTGATACTGTGACGAGCAGTGGATCTATGGGGCCCTCGACTACATTCACAACTCCCGATCTTAATTCGGGTGCAGGGAGTCCAGGTGGCGGAGTTGGAGCTGTTGTGCCGCAGACAACCACCCTGACTCCTGTAACTGCCTTACCTACTTCTGATGCCGAGGCACAGATTGGGTTGGCGAAGGTCGCTGAGGCAGACGTAGACGCGTTCATGACGTACGCTGCTATCGTGCCTGAGTATTGTCGACTTGAGGGCATGCTCTGCAAGTCCCTTGTATGATCGGTTGAGGTGAAAAGTTCTCGTCAATGTATGTGAGTTGGGTACAAAAAACTGCGAGATTTCACGATTTGTTGTATATATAGGATCTCATCAATACTTACGCGCCTTGGATATTCTATTGGAGATCGTTGACTGCCGATAAGTTCTCTGATAGTATCTCGATTCTCCAACTTGGCGTGAACATAGCTGTCGACATGACGCCCTTGTATTTGCCTTTGTACACGAGCATGCATGAAGCCTCATGTGCGGGCCTAGTTCCTTCGGCGCAAGGCGCAAGAAGAATTCCACCCCTTGATCTTTCGTCATAGTGCCATCGATAGCGGCGTCTTGCTGATAAAATCCAACTGATCGGATCGAACAAGCTCCTTTCAGCATTGATTCGTGACTGGAGCTTGGTGATCTAAAGGGTCGAGATTCATATCCAAGTTGATCGTCGACGTAATACTGCTCTGCCAGGTATAAATACGAGTCTGTTAGCAGCGTTCTAAGCACGCACTACCATGGCTTGCATTCAGAACCAACGCATTTACACCCTTAGAAACTGCCAGGGAGGAACTGTCATCGACCTCTCTGGTGCCGACAACTACTCCAGTAGGCATTATCCCTGCTCCAGCCTCCATCCAAGTCAGTGCTGACGTTGGGTTGACCTGTAGTGATCGGTTATCGCGACCACAATGGTCCCAACCAGGCGGTAATGTGTTATCAGTAATCATTGCAGGAAGGATTACACTGATGAACTGGACTATTCGCAGTGGATCTTCCACCATGATCATAATGATGACACCTGGTCCATCAAGTCTGTCGGAGCTGACAAATATCTTGGGATCGAAGGCGATGTCAACGATGCTGGTAATGGCACCAGGGTTGTTGCTGTCTCGTTCCCGTTCAAGTGGGACATCAAAAACTCTGACATGGAAGGCGTCGAAGGCATCAGGTACGCATACCTTTCGAGTTGTGGGGTATGGTTGGCGGTGGATTGATTATCGTCTATTATTTTTTCTTTCCCTTGGCAGGATATTGCTCCATGGACATAAATTTAGCGTAGACTTGTCCGACAAAGGAAATGCGACAGAAGGCACACCAATTCAGCTTTGGACTAGGTGGCATGGTGCCAATCAGATTTGGGCGCCTGTCGAGCGTAAATGGTGTGTTTGATTCGCTTGACGACTGTCAAGGTTAAGCGCATCGTACTGACTGACAATTATCAGATCGTTTCTAGAGCGTAAAAGAGCAGAACTCTGTGCACTGTGAATTGTCATGTATAACAGAATACTGGTGAAAACAAAATATTGTCTAGTCAAATTGATGATCTTGCTGGACATAAATCTCCGCTGGCTTGAATGCAGTTGTGACCGAGAGCATGGCGGTTGATTGCGATTGTCTCCCTTCATCACGGATACACGCGGTCTCACGTTTCTTCGATCGACAGTACTTGGTAATGGCGGGCAGGTCGCTCAAACCCACGTGAGCACCTGCAGACGCTAATGGTTAATACGTTGCGAGGACATAATCGCTGTGGCACAACCGGCGTGCCTGGTTGGTTGTACAAGTGCTCGGAGGTATAATCCGCTTTTGAAATTATGTTTCCGTGATTGTCCGCATGCTAGTATGTATGCGAGAAGTCCTTTCGTCTGAAAGGCGTTTTGTCATGATATCCAAGAATGGTACCCCGTTAGCGTGGAAAAATTGCAACCTAAGGTCGAACTCGTAGATCCACTCGGATGTCACCGACGGGAAACGATGAGACCTTGCTGTCCAGTGGAACTTCTTCACTACCGTCCCACTTAGATCTTCGTTTTGATACATGTAGTACCACGCGTGAACGGTTAACCCAGCGCCTGGAGAATTGTCGCATCAGAAGAGAACAGCCTGAGGAAATTAGAAATTCGCTGTCAACGACAAATTGACTTGCTCGTAGATATAGTCCCAGTACAAAGTCAGTCACTGGGGGAACGACGAGGAATCGGACCCCATCAGATCCAAATCTCATTGTTGATTACACTTCCACTCGTATCGTTACACGATTCTCCATTACATGGGCGCACTGGTATACCCCAGGAAATATTCCACGGAACGCACTATCCTTTTTGCCCGCTTCAATCAGGTAACAGCTATACTCTTCAAATAATCGACACGGTAAGGGTTCACATCTGTCAAGTCGCCGCGGTTGATAGGAGTCCACTTGGGCTCATCCTGTAAAGGTTTCTTGTAAAGACCACCAGTAAAAAACGGCAAATACGGACCTTGAAGAGACGTAAAGCTTTTATCATGTTATTCTCGTCAAGAGTGAATCGATGGTAGATGCCAGCAGGGAGAACCAAGAGATCACCCGCGTCTAGCTGACAACGAATCCATGAATCCGTGGGATGTTCTGGATGACGAGTTATCAGAGTATGGCATGGAATATGTGATTCTCTGCTCACCTCGAACATCAAAAAATCCGCTGCCCTCGAGAATATATCTGATCTCCTCGTCTTCATGCATGTGCCTGGTTTTCAAGTTGTCGCCGAGTACAGACAGGATGTTGTGAAAAACAGAGCGTACTCTTCATAAAAGCTCTTTAACTTGGTCTCGTATAAATCTCCAAGGCCCTGCTTGGTGATCGTGATAGTATCTCTGTTCTTGTAGTTTCTTTCCTTTGCAACAGTATCAATCTGATTCTGTTGGTTCGTTGGGATGTGCCAGTGTAGTAGTCCGATAGATTTCAGGATATCATCCGATACAGGGTTTCCGGAATCGTGCAGCAGCCGCTGATCGCCTGGAATGTTATCAAAGTAAAAGGCGCGCATGGTGATGGTATCGATCCTCGACTATATTACTAAGCTACTAGGTGCCTTCAATGATTACTGTCACGTGTCACATCGTTACAAGGGATCCGCGGGATGGTACTACGTGGTGATGTGAGTCGAGGACTGGGGCGTGGCATAGACTCACATTTTTATGTTCATTGGCTGTTTCCAAGCCAACTCTAGTAGGTTAACGTTTCTCTGATGTGATATTTTCGCGCTAGCGTTTTTGAGTCTTAGTTTTGTTCCCCTGCTTGTACTAGTTCTACATTTAAGTTTGAAACAATCTAATCTCCCGTTGTGTTTTGTCACGTGATATTTGAGCACCTTTTCAATTCAATTCTAAATGATAATCTGATTCAATTGAGCAATTCTGTTAAACGTCTACCAGTCGTCTACCGTACCTTCATGTATCCAATGTGACTACAGTCTACAGATAATGCGCTACACGTGCTGCGCGCCCTGGTGTCCAATGATCGGGGTGCTGACGTGGCGGAAACCCAGGGTCATGATATTTATTTAACCTTTGCTGAAATTTACAATACGCCCACATGATAGAAAAAGCACTCTATTTTTAGAGTCTGTTTGGCCACCAATATTTGCGCCAGTTTACGCAGGTTTAGAATCTATGTTTTGCTTTCATAATCATAGGACCGTGCTGGTCACAGTGTGACCATCAATCAATACTAAGTAGTAGGCATGCCTGTTACCCGTCTACAATCTATCCATCATCGCAACTCTTACAGGATGTCTTGGGGCAGAAAAAGTGCCCGTGGTGGTGCAGAGCTAACGGAAGCGAGAGATCGGTGTGTGTGGACGGAGGCAGATGAAACCATCCTCATCCAGTATGTCACCACCAACCGCTCACAAGGTGGTGATGGTATGAACTTTGATCACACATTTTGGGTTGCTGCTGCCGCTGAAATGGAAAAACACCCCTGCTCGGGTGCAAGCAAAACAGCGGCAGCATGTCAATCAAAATGGGGGCGGGTATGTACTACTACTATATCAGCCTTGGTACCCTCACTAATGATCAAATTTCAGCTCTGTGGTACATTCAACGTCGTCGACAAAGTGGCCAACGCTTCCGGACTATCTTACAGCATGGAACGCGGAGCTTCGATCACCCCAGAGTCCGAAAACATGTGGACCGACTTTGTGAAGGTAAAGTGATTTCAATTCGCATCAAACTACTACGACAATGCTAATTACTATGAATCAATAGAAAAATCCAAAGGCCAAAGGCCTCCGGGACAAGGGTTGGAAGCACTATGAGGCGCTGAAAGGTCTCATACCTGTCAAGTCAGGTAACAACAACTCGTTCTTTGCCACCATCGCGACACAACCTCCCATCATTCCTTCGCCTTCTTCTAGCAGCGCAGCCACCCCCCTTTCTTTTGATGAGGTCCATATGATGGACCTTGGAGATGTGCTCGATGGGATCGAGTTCCCCGGCTCTATTTCAGGCGGCCAGCGCGCAACCCCCCTCACCCCAGAGAGCCTCCCTCCATTCGATGCCGCACAGCAACCCTCCCTTGAGTCGGTCTGTGTTAGTGCGCCATCATCAACAGCTTCCGGTAAACGGAAGCTGATTGATGATGATGAAAGTACGCTTGATATCGTTACCCGCCCCCCACATTCAACGAAATCGGGAGACTCGGCGAAGTCTGCATGCCTGACGATGCCTGTGGCCATCCAGCAGATGGGGACCAGTATTGGCGGTCTTAACACAACGTTCAAGCGCAGCGGCCAATGCTCTTGAGGCCAACACCTCCAACACCTTGGCGCGATCAGTAGATCCCATCCCTTTGCGCAGGCAGAAGGCAGGTGAAAAAGTTGCAGAGTGAGGGTCTAGAGGACATACAACTACTCAATATCTTGAATAAATTTCAGACCGACATCGCTATCATTGATATTTATCTTGCTATTGAGGTAGATAGTCTTTGGCGGTTGTTTTTAGAGCAGCATTCAAAGTAGTGTTACATGGATTCTTGTCGTGTCATGTTCTCTTGTATTGTACTTGTAGTAGCAAAGCAATATCACTATTTCTATAGATCATAGTCATTGATGAGGATCCAGTCTTAATCTGACAACAATGTCATCATTTGATGGAGATACTTTGGATCATAGTCATCGATGAGGATCTGGTCTTAATCTGACAACAATGTCATCATTTGACAGAGATACTTTGGATCATAGTCATCGATGAGGGTCCGAATGGCTATGGTATTAACGCGACTACAGTACTAGTGGTTCTATGATTGCCTGCTCCCCCCTCTGAATCCTTTCCCTGTTGTAGGCCTCCCACATCTCACTAGCAATCTGGTCACGACGGAGGCTCGCACGAGTGCGTGCGTGCTCAGTAGGAGGACCATTAGCAAGGTTTCCAGTGTCAGTGAGAATGTGCGCATCTAAGACATTACGATAGTCCATCATGTCGTTTGGATCGTGAACTCGAATAACGTTGTGCACGAGACACAAGGCAGGAGGAATGCGCACTTGAATGTCCATTTTGTACTCTGGTGGGAGGAGAAGGATACGAAATCGGCGCTTGATGACACCAAAAATGCGCTCAACAGCATTTCGAAGCATTGCATGACGCAAATTGAAAAGTTCTTTGCGATTACGAGGCCTATGTAACAATGTGAACATAAGTATGAATGGTACTAGCAGAATGCATCATACAAAGTATTAGCACGACCCCACTCTGCAAGATGATAATGCACGCCCCGAAACGGGACCAGAAGCTCATCACACGAGCCAAAACCAGCGTCCGCAAGATAATACTTTCCCTCAGGGATATTGAAATTGGTAGTACGAGCATCGTGATAGACACGAGCATCTGCAGCTGACCCCTCCCAACCGCTCAACATGTAGGTAAATGAAAGGTTGAATGAACATGCCGCGAGGCAGTTTTGAGAGAAGTTCCCCTTGCGATCCCGAGCGGCATGCCGATCTTCACCAAAAGGATGGCATGCGATGTGTGTACCGTCAATGGCTCCAATAGCATCAACAAAGAACGGGAAGAACTTCGGGTTTTTCGTGATTTCGGGGGGAGGAGGGCTATCTACATCGGGCAGGCAGACATATGTCGTATATATCGGTGGCGAGGAGAATGCGAAAAGAACCTGTTTAAAATACCTGAAAGAACATAAGCTTGATACCAGGACAGCAACAATATATGTACTTTGATATTGTCTCATTGGACCGCTGAAAGCGTTCACCAAGATGGCGAATCGAGAGACCCGTGACAGACGCATAGAGAAATATAGCAAGCTGCTCTTCGAGCAGTACATGCCTGGAATCTCTGCAACCTGCTTGCCGAAGGAGATTGATGAGCACATAGAAAACATGCTTGTGGACCCCAAGCTCGCATCTGATGCGTTCAGGGTGTCCAGTGAGAAGTTCGGTGACCCATGCAGTCCCTGACAAAGCGGAGGTATGATACGGTTCTTTGTCGTAGTAGGTGTTTGAGTAAGCTTCGAGCGCAGTAGTTGTTGCGTTGAGGACTGTAATGACCATGTGCATAGCATGCATGGCCATCTGCATGATGCATGCCAGATACCTCTTATCACTCTCCTCTGCATCTTGGTCCATCTCCTCTGCCTCCACAAGGTCGTATTCGTCCTCGTTAGCGTCCTCGTCGTAATCAGGATCAAGAGGCATTGTATTGATAGTAGGACAAGGCATACGGTAAGCGTTATCGGAGCGTGACATCTTGTTCAAGCTCCGACGATTAGCAAAGCCAGAACCAAATTCTAACTTGCGCAAATAACGCAAATAATGGTGGCCGAACAGACTCTTAGTGAATATATCAGAAATTAGCTTGAGTTTCTGGAGAAGGTGGAAGATGCGGCTATGTTCATTGTTCTACTAGCTCGCATTAGTAACGGTCACGGGACTTACTACGGGTCAACAACCGGAGTCTTTACACCTCCGACCAGCGGTCACCAACCTCAGCCCTATTATCTACCTGTACCCATTAGGACAGTCCAGGACATTTGTCTCTCAGTTGGAACGGGATCTGTCACCTATGGTCTCAGGTGTCGATTCAGACGGTTATCCGCCAATCAAAGCACACATCGTGTATGCGGTTAGATTCAACTCTTCGCCGTTCACCAGAACAGTCTTAGTATGACACATTTTCAGCACCCAATCAGCGCGATCGCAGCAGAGGTGGAAATTTCACTGCGTGGTGCAACGGTCCGCTTGCAGAGGTCGTTATATATCAGGCTAGCCTCTACTAAAGGAAACTTGAACCCGTTCTCAACGATACGGTACTTGGTACTAGATTAATCGAGTTGCTGTGCTCACGCTAACTTCGGACTAACTTTATAGGTAACGCCCAGCCCCTGAAACCATGGAACCCATACTCTGAACGAAATGCACCCATAGGAATCTAAGTGTTTGCTGCTTGCAAAAATTGATTTTGAAAACGGAATAAATCGGAGACATTGGCAGACATATGTCATCGTGCCTCAGCTGTGACAGACGATGTCAACACTAATGCCGCAAAGACGTGGTACCATCCGCCATCGCCATGATGATCCATCCTCCGCGATTATCCCCGATATCTAAGACCAACTTTATTAGCCTCTTTTCATGCCGTCCTGTGCAAGCCTGTCCGCCGCTTCGTACTAGTTTTCTGTCACTATACAACCACACTTCTACTAGCTTGAAACTATCGGCAACGACCTTCAGCGCTCTGAGGTCCGTCCGTCGTCTTTTCTTGTATAAAAAGGATCTCCAATATTCTTCCATTTGCATCAACCAGCAGCCTCTTGTTTCATTTCTTTTCCACTCTTCCCCCGTAGAGCATATCAACTTAGATCTAATCACTCATAACACATAGATTAACATAGCAATGTCGGCAGTACTCCCAGTCACCCTCCATGACGTTCTCTCTCAAGCTACTGAGCGCTACCCTTCCCACGAGCTCGGATTCATCACATCTTCCGCTCACGACTCTTCCATTCGAGTGACGACATTCAGCTCCTTCAACCAGTATGTGCGCAACCTAGCCCGCGCTATGCTGGATTGGGGAAAGCCCATTGGCTCAGTTATCGTTGTCTACCTGACTGAGCACGAGGATAACATGGCCGCTGTTTGGGCTTGTCTCCTTGCAGGCTACGTTCCATGCTTGCAACCCGCCCTTAGTGCCCAGCAGGCTCACAAGGAGGGCCATGTTGCTCATATAAAAAACCTGTTCTCGTCCGCTATCTGGCTCACTAATGAGTCCGGCGCTGACCAGGTGAATTCCATCGGCGGTCTGGATATTTACCTTCTTTCGGAGCTCAAGGCTTCAGCTTCGAAATACCGCGTTGCAGCCGACTGGGTCGCCCGTACCCCCCAGCCAGATGATGAAGCAATACTATTTTTAACCTCTGGATCAACTGGCTTCTCCAAAGCAGTTGTCCACAGCCATCGCACTATTTTGGCCGCTTGCTCCGCCAAAGGAGAGGCTTATGGGTTGACTCCAAAGACTAATGTACTCAACTGTAAGTCGTCTTGTTCGCTGTCGTTTCCGATATTGATATTTGTCCAGGGGTTGGATTCGACCATGTCGCGGGTTCTTTGGAAATGCACATCACCCCCTTGTTGTTTGGAGCCTCCCAAATCCATGTCCATGCATCTGCTATCCTCTCCGACCCACTTCGTTTCCTTCGTCTGATCGACGAGAAGTCCATCAACGTTGCATTCAGCCCTAACTTCTTGCTTGCGAAACTTACACGGGACTTGGAGAAGAGGACCGATCTCGTCGGAACTTTCGACCTTTCTTCCATCAAGCGCATCAACAGCGGAGGGGAGGCAGTCATTTCAAAGACTGCTCAATCATTTGTAGCTGTCCTTAAGAAACTTGCACAAGACCCTCTCAAGGTTTCTTTCGTGATCTCACCTGGATTTGGTATGACCGAGACTTGGTGTGTTATTTTTGGCCTACACGGAGGCATCAAACTCAATTAATCTTAATATTAGCGCGGGGTGTATCTACGAGCCTGTGGATCTTAGCACTACTGAGCCAAAACACGAATTCCTCGATTTGGGCCGCCCTGTACGCGGTTGCGAGATGCGTATCGTCGACCCTGAAGATGGCAAAACGGTCCGCAGGGACGGAGAGAGTGGCGAGCTGCAAGTCCGCGGCCCTATGATTTTCGTTCGTTACTACAACAACGCGGAGGCCACATCTTCCAGCTTTGTCGATGGTTGGTACCGCACCGGTGATGTCGGCATTATCGAGGACGGTGTTATGCGTCTCAGTGGCCGCATCAAAGACACTGTTATCGTCCACGGTGTGTCATATGGTATTCCTGAGTTGGAGACGCACCTCCAGACTGTCGAGGGTGTCACGCATTCCTTCCTTGCTGCTGCTCCCTACCGTGCACCCGGGCAAGAGACTGAAGGTTTCATTATATTCTACGCTCCTACTTTCGACCTTAACGGAGAAGATGCTTCCACGAAACTGTTTGCCACGCACCGCGCCCTCCGTGACATCTGTGTCAAAATGATCACCCTCCCTCCTCAATTCATCGTCCCCATTCCTATCAACCAGATGGAGAAGACTACTCTCGGAAAGCTCTCGAGAGCCCGCCTTGTCAGCCTATTCAAACAGGGGGAACTTGCCAAGCACATCGCTCGTGCTGAGGAGCTTCTCAGCGAGGCTCGCGGCTCTTCATTTGTCGCCCCTTCCACAGAGGCCGAGAAAGCTCTTGCAAATATTTACGCTGGGATCTTTAACCTGAGCGAGACTGAAATGTCAGCAAGCGATAACTTCTTCGAGCTTGGTGGTACCTCTATCGATGTCATCAGGTAAGCAATACAGGATATTTTATCATGAATGCCTCTCACGTTTCTTTTTATCAGACTCAAGCGCGAGGGTGAGGCACACTTCGGTTTGCCCGAAATACCCACTATCCAGATCCTCAAGCACCCCGTTATTTCTAGCTTAGCGAATTACGTCAACACTCTTCTCTCAAAGGACAGCGCCGCCGAGGAGTACGACCCCATCGTTCCTTTGCAGCTCACGGGCAACAAGACACCCATCTTCTTCGTTCACCCCGGTGTCGGCGAAGTCCTTATTTTCGTCAACCTCGCCAAGTACTTCCAGAACGAGCGTCCCTTCTATGCTCTTCGTGCTCGTGGCTTCGAGCCAGGTCACCCTTTCTTCACCTCCATGGACGAAATGGTGTCAACATACGCTGCTGCAGTAAAGAGGACTCAACCTACCGGTCCTTATGCCATCTCTGGTTACAGTTACGGTGGTGTCGTCGCCTTTGAGGTCGCTAAGCGCCTCGAGGCTATGGGTGATGAAGTCAAATTCGTCGGTCTTATCAACATCCCCCCTCACATCGCCGACCGCATGCACGAGATCGACTGGACTGGTGGTATGCTCAACCTTTCATACTTCCTTGGCCTTGTGACGAAGCAAGATGCCAATGACCTCACACCCACTTTGAGACCTCTCTCGAGGAAGGAACAACTGGAGGTTGTCTGGAAACTATCACCTCCCGAACGTCTCATTGAGCTCCAGCTCACGCAAGAGAAGCTTGACCACTGGGTCGACATTGCTGGCTCGCTAATTGAGTGCGGCAAGGAGTACAACCCGGCTGGCTCAGTCTGTGAGTGTCCTTGATTCTGTAATTCTATTCTCTCACTGACGATCGTGACCAGCCGCTCTTGATGTATTCTACGCCATCCCCCTGAAGGGAACAAAGGCCGATTGGCTCAACAAGCAACTCAAGCCATGGGACGGCTTCAGCCGTGGCCAGGCCACATACACTGACGTCCCTGGGCAACATTACACTCTCATGGACTTTGACCACGTTCCTCAATTCCAAAAGATCTTCCGTAGCCGTCTTGAATCCCGTGGTATTTGAGACTACAGATTGTCGCGGTCGGAACTTTGAGGCGGATTGATTTTACCGGGATTTACTGTATATGTGTATATTTCTATATGGTGGACTTTCTTTATACATACTTGTACGGTAGTATTTTTTTGTAAAAATGCCCTAGTGTTGGATCCATAGATTATATGTTGTTATTTTTCAATGATACATGAACTGATTCGAGCGATTTGAATTTCGAAATTGTAGACTCTGTCCCCAGGGGGATTGTATTGTGCTATGATACCGCCAAATTCAACGGACGTATACACTAGGGCCGCCGTGATCGATTGAGAATTCATAGGAGATATCAGATAACTAAACTAGGAGGACATATTTGAGATAAATCCTTAATGGATCACAGAACATGCACAAACCCCGCTGGCAGAATCTATATTGAAGACCCCACTGAGAGATGCAGATGACCGGGGGAACAGTGCTGGATCTGCTCTTGGCTAGCGCTGACTAGCGCTGACTCATCAAGCTCGGAGAAAGCCGGAGTATTAGTACACTTGCCGTTCATGCATATGCTGCGTCAAGCTTTCAAATTTTCGAGCTTACCCTGGATGAGTCGCGTTAGACCCCACCTTTCACACATATTAATATTTGAATTATCAATATTATCTTCTTCCGATGATTCATAACCGAAATCGACCAGACCGTCACGGTGCCTATCCTGGGTACTTGAAGTTATGCAAGCTGGGTGCGACTGGCATCACATTCGCGTTATTTGATTATCCACGTCGTCCTTCACGCGCGCGCTCCATTTGTATTACTTCAAAGGCGAGACAATAATATTCTCGCCGTGAGCTGACGATCATGACAAGCCTCGACTTGAAGGTGACTTGAATGCTCGCCCCTTTAGGGATTGAATGGCTGAATGTCACCGCTTACTCGTTACCACTCTCTCAGATTCTACGTGTCATACCCCGTTCGCTTAAAGATATATTTTCAAGAGTTCGACCTTGAGGCAGCCATGGCGCTCCCTTCTGAGCCTTCCCCAGCTGCTCAACGCGCCCATCAATGGCTTGCACCTTTCGCAATGTTTAGAATCAGGAGACCGATGATCTTGATGTTGTATACTGATCATCGTCGAATTTCCATTACCAAGATTATCCAACGCGGTGGCAGCCATCACCAGTCACTGCAATATCCAAGTAACTGTGATGTCCTAGTTTCCTTGGCAAGTGAAACTATACCATCGTGCATGAAATATCATCCTACAGTCGAGAGAATTTAATCCATCCTGACGTCGTTGCTGGTCACCACCATGTCAAGTAAAGTTCCGAGAGGCCATAATTGACAAATTGACACTAGTCAGGCTCGTCGAGGTTCCCACCCATATCACCGATCGTACACACGAAATGAACTTTCCAGCTGGACTGTGACACACTGCGTCTGTCATACTTTCTGGGTTTTGTGGCAGAATCAATGACACTAGCCTCGTTCCCACTGTGAGGCCACTCTTGCGAAAGGAACAACTAGCTGAAGGCCGTCTGGAAGTCTTCGCCTCTTGGTCATTTTACTGAGCTCCAACTTCGAGAGAGGCTTAGCCATCGTCACTGGGTCGATACTGCCAGTTCCCTCGTGGAATGGGGGCGGAGTACCAGCCCAACTGGGTTAGCCTACGAGTATCCTAATTTCCACAGTTGTATTTCTCAGCCTGCAGAACTCGACCGAGCACAGCTTGAGCGGAAGATCCGTCTTCTGGCATTTGCGTCACTGAGTTTCGCACACGTCGGGCATGACCTACCATATTCAGAGGTCGCGTCAATCCCGCAGAAAAGTGGGCGATCGATGGTACGTCCTCTTGACATCCTGTCGTTTATAATTATCTCAAATAATCCTCCCAATAGTCGATCTTTTTTCGGGGAAGCTCTCGCAGACCACTCGATCTCTACACGTCTACCGTTCGTCAGCGCGCATGTTTGAGCGAGAGCAATGGGAGGCACTGGGAAAACGTCTTGTTACGTGGAAGGCGGGCCTAGCGAGCGTGCTGGAGGTTTTTACTAGTGCACAAATGCGCGGTAACAGTTCGACTGTGGGTGAAGGCGTGCAGCAGGTCACGCAGACAGGTGAGAGCGTTCAGGTCGATGCCGCGTAGCATACATCAGGGTTCTCCTGGTCAATAAATCAAAGCCACGGTTGACTGCAATTCGTTGGAATGCCGGTGAAGTTGATTGTCGTTCATCTGAAGTTTTGAACATGACTTCAGCTTTGATGTCGAACGTTCAAAACTCTGCTTGCTGAGATGAAAAAACTTTGATTAACATCGATGAACTTCTGCATACGTTCCCGTCGGTCAGGCAATCACTCGTCACTACTGGTGGTGATTTGCTTGGGAGTGCAGCTACGTACTATGCAGCGTACAGACTCGAATTTGATGTGTATGTACCCGCTCAAACAAACATCATATCATTCCAATCGCTGCCATCGAACTGCCTCGAAATTTGAACCGGACCAAGGTAGGTACTTGATCCGGTGGTTACACAGCCATTGACATGCGGTGTCAGCAAGGCGCCTGCAACCACAGCATGCAAAACTGACCCAAATAGCAGGTCTCTTCATCACCTTCAACCCGTATCTTTCCCTCTGCTCGATTGCTGACTTTGCGCGGTGTTTCTCTCTAGTCCGTTTGTACAGCCCAGTATCCTATATCGATCAAGGTCATGCCACACGAAGAGGCCGAGTCGAGCACGTCGATGAGACGGGGCGAAGCGCCATTGCACTCCTCGATATATCGGACGAGCGCGAAATATTTACCACCATACGGTGCACAGCACCGCCAGGATGCACTTTGGGAAGGTGAGCAGCTACCCTGTGATACCCACCAGCTTACTCAATTAGAATCAGGCGGGAATGAAGCGCTTCCTCCTATGTGGCAACAGTTTATGATGTCGTCGGATAGCGCAATACAATATCAAGATGACATGATCATGATGACCTCGGTGTACCGACCTTTACCAGGAGTGCGACTAGGTGAGGGACGAAATTGTGACAAGAAGCGACGAACTCACCATTGAACATAGATTTTCGGGGATATCTTACTGTTCCTGGATGGGAATGGCACATCTCACCACTCGGTCGGTCCTACTTCGTCGACCACAACACTCGGACCACGTCATGGAAGAAACCAAAGCCAGAACGTCCGGCAGGAAGCTTGATGCCGGAGTGCGTCATCGAGGGTCACTCCAAATGCATACGGAGCCTTGCCTACTTGGGTAACAGTGGCAACATAATGAGCACGTCTGATGATAGTTCGATTCGTCAGTGGAAAGGAGACGGAGAGCCAGTGGGGAAACCTTTAAATGGCGATGGGGGAGGGATAGTTTCGATGGTAGTGTCCTCGGACGAAACCATGGTGATTTGTGGAAGTGTAGACGGCAGACTGCGGCTGTGGAATATAAAGGAGGGCAAGATGGTTGGTGACCCATGGGAGGGGCATGATGCTGCAGTGATGTGCCTTGATTGGTCTCGCAATTCCCTGGAGCTAGCAAGTGGATCGCAAGACGGCACGGTACGACGCTGGAACCCGGACACTGGTCGACAAATAGCACCACCCATACAGACCAGCCAAGGATGGGTTGAAGCTGTCAAATACTCTCCACAAGGTGACAAATTCATGAGCGGCGGTGTGAACGGTCCGATCTGCATATGGTCAAAGAACGGCAAGCTGCTTATCGAGATCAAGGGACATGACAATGATGTGTCGTCATTGTGTTGGTCCAAGGACGGCGCACACATCTTCGGGTCAGGTGATTATATGATCCAAAAATGGCGGGCGATTGATGGACAGGAACTCGTCGTTCTTCGGGGTCACACCCACCCTGTCAGATGCATCTGTCTTACTCCCGATGAAAGCTATATTGTTAGCGCATCAGACGACTTCTCCATTCGCATCTGGGATCTCAAGACCAATCAGGCAGTCGGAGATCCACTCTTGCATGATGACAGACTTTTGGCTGTTGCCATTCCATTGCCAGTGCTGGAGTAGACAAAAAAATCTATGTATGGAACCTGGAGGCGGTGCTCAAAAACGTTGTGGTAGGTATGCACTTTGTTGTCCAATTTCCCTTCCTGACGGTTTTGGCCAGGCTGCAGATGCAAAGCTCAAGGCAACTCTTCTCTGCCTCTCTTTCACACTACATCTCACATTTCACTAGGGACGTTCAGCCCAACCGAGAGTTGTGCGCCCACCAATCGTGAGCAACCCCACCTTCTCTCATATGTCTCGTCAGACCTTTGACCCCGTCTTGCGTCTAATCAGCAGGTCAAAAAACCAGGACAGGCAAGATATGTCAGTGTACTTTCTTGTTCTTGGCCTTTCTCGCCTGACACCAAGATACAGGGCAATGATTTCTTTGGCAACGAATCAGACCACGCGTCTCGTCGTGCGGCTCCTCCCGCAAGCCCATCGTCCCTTGTTCGTTGGCGTCGTTTTCTCAGTTCCATACATTTTGGCACACGATCTGTAGATGCATCCCAGCCACTCGAAAGACAGTCCCGACACTGGAATTTCAACCTCAAGTCGTTTTCCGGAGGACATTCCATGCGCACCGTCGATGTACCTCTTGCTCGAGATGAAGATGTGAGTGACTCGTCGTCCCTTCAATTTCGTTTCATTAAAATACACTGCAGAGATACGGCATTGTCCCTGAAACTGATGCGGAAGCGGCTGCAGCTATGCAACGTACGAACAGCAACCAGGTCAACAGTGCAACGCAATCAGGTCAACTAGCTGGGACACAACCATCTCAAGCACAGCCAATCCAAACACAGGCACAAAGCTCAAGTGGTGGAGCGGAAGACTTTGTGTATACAGGAGTGAGCTGCTGCGGATATTTCTTTGGTCTTCGTCGTCCTGCTTCACATCAGTCACGAGACGTGTCGCACGCGCGCACTCAGTTCAACTCTCTTTCCCCCGCACATGTGTCTAACTCCTCTCGTAATCAATATGCGCTACTGTGACTATCACCCACGCACTCGGACCCATCTCTCGTGCACCTCCTTTCCCTTGCGCTACTTTCCCTGGATCCACGCCACGTGTTGACAACATCACCGGGGAGACTGACCCCGCTTTCTGGAATGCAGCTCTTGGTGGTGTAATGGTCTTCTGCGCGGGGAGCTTGGTGTTTGCTGGAAACGTGACGCGTTGAAACGTCGAAGTTGGATTTCGCGCAGCATTGAGTACTTACTGCTCAAACCGTACACAGATTGTTCAACTTGTATTTGTACAACTTGGATTTCCATCGATGAGTTCGCTGATTGCTTGGAACTTATAAATCCGTCGATCTCCATGCGAGGGCGTCTGTCCGATCTTCACCAACAGCTCTCAGCATTTGCTTACGGCGAATGGTACCGGTGAATCCGCATCAAGGACATGGAACATCCGCTTCAGTGCGAAGCAGCAAGCTCCGCTGCGCACTGAGCAAGTCCTAAAATACAAAAGTCTACCTGAGAATTTCCCTGATATTCCCGTTTACGCCAAGGTCTGCTATGTGCTCGTTTCTTTACATGGAATTTGACTAGGAAACGAAACTCGTTGAATAAAGGAAAAGGAACGTTCGAGTTTTGGGCTCTGGCTCTTGTGCGGCGCCAATCAAGATAAGCATCTTTATACATTCTAACAATTACGATAACACTGGAATACCACGCGATAACGGTTCGAAAGGCTAAATAAGAGGGAGTGGCGGGAGGGAGCAAGGAACGAAAATGTTAACGAGCGAGAGTTTGAAGGATGTCTAGCTCGATGTCGTCACGGCTAACGAGGCCAGGAGACTGCAGGGCTTGTCATCTTCTACGTTTCCACTTTTGATCCATGTACCATCCCGGGCTTACACGCACTGAACATGCTGCAGACGCGATTGATGTATGAGTAGATCTAATTCAGCCAACAGTAGTATACAAAAACAAAGCTAGTGATGATCCAAAAACAATGCAGTTACATAAACGATGGAATGGGACAGCGAGATGAAAGTAATAGACAAGATTACTGAATGAAATGTGGGAACAGGTATGAAGCTAGATACCTATGTGAACAAATACAATTCGTTGTTCTAATGGAATGTTGATCTTGCGTAACGATTTCACGGCCTTGTGCAACGCTATTGCAGCCCGCGTGCAGTTCAAGCTCCCTGAACCATCAATCATGTGGCCATAAAAAGCAGACACAAACTGGCGTGCAACATCATCATCGACAGACCACATCGAACCTATGACACTGCGAAATCCGCAGAATTGCATAGCCGCAGCAAGATGAATCGACTCGTCGGGACTCTTCTCATCGCCCACAGTAGTGTGGCAAGCCGATAAGAATGCAAACTCTTGATTCTGCCAGTCTGATCGGATGATATCCTTGATCATCAATGGCCCGTCACGCATGGCGAAGGAAGACTCAAATGGTTGTGTCCGATGCGGCATTCCATGGCAGGCGAGATGGAGCCACTGATAATGATTGAGTGCATTGAGTGCACCCTCGACTGTTGCGTTGCCCTCCTCGAGGAGCGTGAAGGACACGATGGGCGCAACGTGCTGAGCGACGACGGCTAGTTCAGGAGCAACACATTCGAGCTCCTTCCCTTTGACCGGGTTGCCTTGACCGATGGCAACAAAATGTTGCGAGGACGCATATCGAGAAACCTGCTGTCTCGCACGAATGAGAGTCGCCAAAGTGGGGGTGTAAGAGGAGATGTAAATGTCAGACAATTTTTTTTTCTTCTTCTCGTAGGGTCCTGCTGCATGGAGAGGAAGCAGCGTGAATTCAGCAGTTGGACACCACCAGATACGCGAACCGGGGCAAATATTTGACTCCCTAAGAGCCTGCACCACGGGGTCAACGATATCATTCCAAAGCTTGCGAAGGATGCTGACAAGCTTGAGTTGACAATCAGAAGAGCCAAACTGTTCTGCGAGTGACTGGAACTCAGAGGAGAACTCGGACACTTCGGCTTGTGTAATGTCAAGCGGAACATGAACAGGATCTTCCGCGCTGTGGATAATCAAGCCATCGCAGCTGTACCGACTAGTGTTAAGGATAATGACTGGACCATCTTCAGCCGCTTTCTGGAGGTCAGAAAACAGTGGAGGAAGTAGAAACCGTGAAAAGTCGGGGAGCATGCGAATGCGTGAGACAACTTCATCCCATTGCATGGTCAGTTGCCAGATTTGCGGAGAGTGGTTTTCGGCAGACTGATCGAACGCGTTGCGAAAACAAAAACTCAACCGTTTGAACTCTTCTGCCAGGGCCGCGCCGGTGTCACCTGAAACAGAAAGTACATCGAGTGGTGTGCGGAAGCGTGCCAATTGGGTCCAGAATACTGCACGACCTTGCTCCACCAGCTCCACCGCAGTCGTCAGCGCACCACGACGAACACTGCAGGAAAAAGCATTTGTGGCGAGGGAAGAAACAGCCTCCCTGATGACGTCGAAGTGATGAGAAGAAGACGACAGGAGAGCGACTCGCTGGTCTAAGAATTTGAGCGCAACCTGATAAGCAAGCAATACAGACGGGTGATTAAGGACGTGGGCGGAGGCCGCCCATGACTTGGCAGCGACGAGATCTGTGCGAGATGCTGCATGGGATAGGTGGGAGAGTTGAGAGTACAAGCTAAATACTTCATCATAGTCAGACTGAACGCCCCATTGTCGGAATCTGTGTTGAAGGCTGAGTGCAAGATTGTTCAGAGACATGGATCGATCTGAATGGCCAGCAGGACGTAGGAGTGATGCAGCCCGATGGAGCTCGATGGCCTCATCAACGTCAGACATGATCCCATGCTGCCCAAATCTGTCTTGAAGGCTGGTAGCAAGATTATTAAGAGACATGGATCGATCTGAATGGCCAGCAGGACGTAGGAGTAATGCAGCCCGATGGAGCTCGATGGCCTCATCAACGTCAGACATGATCCCATGCTGCCCAAATCTGTCTTGAAGGCTGGTAGCAAGATTATTAAGAGACATGGATCGACTTGAATGTCCATGGGGGCGGAGGAGTAGTGCAGCCCGATTATGTTCAATTGCCTCATCAAGGTCAGACGGGACATTCCGCTGCGTGAATCTTTCTACAAGGCTTTGGGCAAGATTGCTGAGAGACAAGGATCGTTCAGGATGACCGGGTGGAAGGAGGAATAGTACAGCCCGATTATGCTCGATAGCCTCATCAAGGTCAGACGGGATGCCCCGCTGCAGGAATCTTTCTGCAAGGCTAAAGGCAAGATTGTGAAGAAACACGGATCGATCAGGATGATCGGACGGGCAAAGTAATAGTGCAGCCCTACTGAGCTCGATGGCCTCATCGAGGTCAGATGGGACGCCCCGCTGTTTGAATCTATCTAGAAGGCCGAGGGAAAGATTGGTGAGAGAAGCAAAACGATCAGGATGATTGGGTGGACGGAGGAGTAGTGCAGCTCGATCGCACTCGATGGCCTCATCAAGGTCAGATGGGACGCCTCGCTGCTTGAATTTTTCTCGGAGACTAAGGCCGAGACAGTTAAGAGATATGGATCGATCAGGATGACCGGGTGGACAGAGTAGTAGTGCAGCCCGACTGAGTTTAATGGCCTCATTAAGGTCAAATGGGACGCCCCACTGCCGGAATCTGTCTCGAAGACCGTTTGCAATGTTGTTAAGAGGTTTGATTCGATAAGGACGATCAAGTGGGTAGAATAGTAGTGCAGCCTGATTTTTCTCGATGGCTTCATCAAGGTCAGACGGAACACCTCGCTGCTCGAATCTGCGATAAAGGCCAATAGCAAGATTGTTGAGAAGCACAGGCCGATTAAAATCAATGGGAGGTAGAAGATGCAATGCAGCTCGATGAAGCTCTATGGCTTTATCAAGATCAGATAGAACACCCTGCTGGTCGAATCTATAATAAAAGGCCATGGCAAGGTCATGGAGACTCGAGGCCGGTCGAAACTGCGCCACATTGTCTGCCATGCTGTCTTGTCAAACAAGTTGCACGAGGGATGCCAAGGACGCAGAGCGTAAAGCTTTGAAGCCGAAGAGCGGAACTGGACTTTGAAGATGACGATTCGTATTGTCGCTACTGTCATATTAGACTCATTATCAGTACATAGACAAGGTACCTTGACTATGAATGCATACATGAACAGAAAATCAAGCACGCGTACTGTAATAGGGTCACTTGCCTAGCACGGTGATCATGCTAGTGAGGTCTAACACTGTAGTACTACATCAGTGAAATTTGAATGGATGATTCTTTGATATCGTAGCCGAGTAGGATGCAATTTCGCTCCTCCTAAATAATATGGCGGTGCCAAGAAACTCCGACGGGCTAGCTACGTCTTGGCACCTGTACGGATGCAATGAATCTCTGACAAAGTTCGAACCCAACCAATACCCCTCTGTGATAGACTTGCCCGTGCACATTCTATCTTAACTATCGAGATACTCGCAGACGCATCTGTGCAGACTTCTGAATACACACATCCATGCCGGCCACTACTGTTCAAATGATAGACGAAATCAAGGAGTGTGTAATAGCTCAGGAGGCCAAAATGGAAGCGGTGTGTCCTCAATATCACGCCAATATGAGTGGCTGAGTATTGTTTCAGGAAAACAAGGACCTCAAGAGGGAGAACAAAAAGCTGAAGCAGGAACTCAAGGCGCTCAAGGAGGAGGTTAATGAAGTGAGTGCATATTACTATAGGATCTCAGTTCAAATATTGACGACTTTGTTGTAGCATTGCAAAAACTCGAACGGAGGACCCTATTTAACGAGGCCTACGAGAAGTTACGCCGATGGTTCACCCCAGATAAACCGGACCCATCCTCCCACCAAGAGGCACCACGACAGCGGTTGATTGATGCTGCAAATTTTGTCTTGAATCACCTCCCATCAATAGACCTGTCAAAACTGTCGCTCGACGCCATCAAAACTATTCTAGACTCATCGCCAGATAGCTTCCGCCGCCTGGGCAATAAAATAGCGCACACATAGGTGACTATGACGGCCGTCAAAGGCAATGCCTTACCAAGCAGGCAGCGTGCCATCTTAGGCAAGGTTTACAACTGGACGTATGATATTCGCGTATGAGTACCTACTATCATCGGAAGCAGAGCACACTGAGTCTTCGACTTCTATTTTACTCCTGTATAGATGTAGAGCAATCCCATTGTGCTCCCAGTTGCAACGTTGATCGGTGAATGTGTTATACATCATAAATGCTCGCAGTTCGATTACCAAAAACATTATTTGCCCCACCACGCCACAGTTATCACCAACAGGGGAATCTCGTGTACGAGTTGCTGCAATCGCTACTGGCAGAGATCATCATGACTCAGACACTGGCGAACTTGAACGAGCAATCTCCAGAAGACGTTGGGTGTATGTACCAAAGCCATCTTTATGCAAAGGCATGTGCTTCTTGCATTTACACACACGTCTCATCTCGCCCAGCATGTCACATCTAACTCATTCGCCCGGTATCGTCCTTACTCCAGTCCAGCCCAGTTTGCGGCATCTCCAGATATGACACGTCGAGCCACCATCTTTCTCCGTCCTGAACTGCGCATCTGGCAAAATCTTGATGTTGAGGTACGTGTTATTGTATTCGCTTATGTGCTACTCTGCGCCTTACTCGCATCGCTGACATATGTTCTAGTTCCTCACGACGTTTATCATTTCTCGCGCTCAATGACTTAAGCTGTGGCGATGCAGGAGTGAACCAGATTTATTCAATCCGACGCGGTGTGTAGCACTAGTACAGAACAGAATCACAATGTATCATGCAGAAATATCATTAAATGAGTAAGCAAAGGAGAGCGAAGAACGAAAACTTGAAATACAACACATGGAATCATATAGCGAATCTTTTAACTGCACACTTATGTGGACAAATATAATGTGCTATTCTAATGGAGTCTTCTTGCGCAACGATTTCACGGAATTGTGCAGTGCTACCGCAGCACGTATGCAGTTCAATCTTCGAATCATCAACGAGGTTACGGTAAAAAGTAGACACGACCTGGCGTGCAACCTCGTCGTCAACAGACCACATGGAACAAATCACACTGTGAATTCCGCAGAATTGCATGGCTGTAGCGAGATGGATCTCATCGGGACTCTTCTTGTCACCCAGGGTAGTGTGGCAGGCTGATAAGAAAGTAAACTGCGGGCTCTGCCAGTTGGATCGGGTGATGTCCCTGATCATCAATGGGTGGTCACGCATGAACAGCTGTGTCTGATTCGGCATTCCGCGGCAGGCGAGATGAAGCCACTGATTATGATTGAGTGCATCGAGTGCACCATCGACTGTTACGCATCCTCGAGGGATGTGAAGGAGACTATGGGAGCAATGTACTGAGCGACAGCGGTTAGCTCGAAAGCGACACATTTGAGCTCCCTCCCTTTTACCGGGTTGCCTTGACTGATAGCAACAAAATGTTGCGAGGACGCATCTCGAGAAACCTGCTGTCTCGCACGAACGAGAGTCGCCAAAGTGGGGGTATAAGAGAATATGTCAATGTCAGACAAATTGTCTCTCTTCTTCTCATAGGGTTCTGCATGGAGGAGAAGCAGCGTGAACTCAGCAGTGGAACACCACCAAGTAAGCGAACCAAGGTAAACATTTAACTCACTAAGGGCTTGGCCACGGGGTCAACAATATGATTCCAAAGCTCGTGAAGGATCCGAGAAGCTTGAGTTGATTATCAGAAGAACCAAACTGCTCTGCGAGTGATCGGAACTCGAAGGAGAATTCGGACACTTCGGCTTGTGTGATGCCAAGTGAAACATGGACAGGATTCTCCGCGCTATGGATAGTCAAGGCGTCGCAGCTGTACCGACTAGCATTGACGATGATGACTGGATTATCTTCAGCCGCCTTCTGGAGGTCAGAAGACAGTGAAGGCAGGGGAAAACGTGAAAATTTGGGGAGCATGCGAATAAGTGTGATGACATCATCCCACTGCATGGTCAGCTGCCGGATTTGCGGAGACCGGTCTTCAGTGGATTTATCGAACACACTACAAAGACGAAAATTTAACCATTTGAACTCTTCTGCCAAAGCCGTGCCGATGTCACCTGAACGAGAAAGTTCATTGAGTGGCGTGCTGAAGCGTGCCAACTGGGTCCAGAATATTGCACGACCTTGCTCCACCAGTTCCACTGCAGTCGTCAGCGCACCACGACGGATACTGCACAGAAAAGCATCTGTGGCAAGGGAAGACACAGCCTCCCTTATGATGTCGAAATGATGCGAAGAACAAGAGAGCAACTCGGTGGTCCAAGAATCAAGATCTGGATCTGTGGGGTGATGGACTGTAGGCTAGCGCTGATCAAGCTCGATGGCCTCGTCGGGGTCATACCTCGCTGCACGAATCTGGCTCCCACTAAGTTGACAACAAGAATGTTGGGAACATCGGAAGAGTATTACCAGGAATAGCGTTATCAAGGTCCGATGGCAACCCCGTTGAGAAACCCGGATCCATTTTTCTGTGAAGGGTCTTCCGATGACTGAAAAATGTGTATAGTGAAATTATATTGGATTCGTAGTACGTATGCAGGGTGCAGAAACCAGAGGACCTACTAGATACCCGGGCTGAATTCAACCTGCGAGGGAAATAAAATGGCGAGACAAAAACCACTGGCACCAATTCGAAATCCGGTCGTGTGTGTGTGTGACCTGTGGAAGACTTCAGCCGGGCAACACTGAGTTCCTGTGTGGCATCATGCTCTCATGGACCGAGTCTTTGACTACATCATATCTTCAGCATCCAAAATCTCGTAGACTAGGCTAACTTGTAAGCCCAAAGAATGTCACAATTATGTGGTGTCCTCGACCATCCGAGTCTGGTTTGCAGAGTCGATAGTCTTAGCTGGTACTAAGCTAATCCAGCTTCGTCTGGTTCAGGAAGAGTCGGAGGCACGACCTTATTGTGGGCTGGTCTGAGCGTTAGCTCGGGGAGGGATGCAAGCAGGTGGAGCCGCTGGGAGGGCGGGAGACATGCTTACGAATTCGGTCGTGCGCTGACTCTTGTGCGGCACAACGCCGCAAATATAACTTATATAAGCACTAATGCTCAGCTGGAAGTGTGGTGCCGAGAAACTCCGACGGACCATGTCTCGGCACCTGTACAATTCATGGTGGACGTAATTAAGCTCCGACAAGGTTCAGGCTCAGACAATTAAATACCCCTCTCTTGCCCGTCCATTTCCTGCACATTCCATCTTAATTATCACGATACTTGCAGACACATCACACAAATACCATGCCGCTCACATTAGATGATATCATATATGAATTGGGCCTTGTAAATAACCGTGTAACGGTGCAGAATTCCACAATTCAAGCGGTGTGTCTCGACATTACGCCAATTTGAGTAACTGAATATTATTTCAGGTGAACAGAGAAAACAGAATTCTTAAACAAGATGTCGAAGTTCTTCAGAAGAAGAACAATGAGTTGGAGGGGCAGATTGAGGAGCTCAAGGAGGATGTTAAGACAGTGAATGCATATTACTATAGGATCTCGGTTCAAATATTGACAACTTTGCTGTAGAACCGCACTGACATCTTGAAACTCGAGCGCCGCACGCTGGTCAACGAAGCACACAATAGATTAAGGGACAACTTCTCATTCACACAAGATCAGCTTAACCCAAAGGCAAAGAGAAGTTAAAAGCAGCTGCAAAGTTTGTCCTCAAAAACCTCCCACCGACCGAGCGATCAAAACTGTCGTTGCACGCTGTCAAATTAATCCTCAATAAATTGGAGAATAGTGTCCGTGAGCTGGGCAACAAATTGGTGCACACCAGCGTGACCACCGCGGCCCTGGAAGACCAGAATTTAGAAGACAGCCAGCGTAACTCTCTGGTCATGATTTGGAAGTGGATGCATGAATCAGTATGATATTGACTTGGACGTATTACCTACCGGCACCAAGTCCCCGACTGTCATTTTACTTCTGTATAGATGAGCAATCACGCAAGTGTCGTGTCCATTGTGCTACCAGTTGATTGGTGAATATGTTATACTAATCATATACGCGTCAATAGTTCGACTACCAAAAACAATATTTGCCCCCACCACGCTCCTCGTCACCACAGTTATTGCCAGCAGTGGAATCTCGTGTACGAGTTGCCCGACGGGCACATAGAAATCACTACTGGACCGCAGGGATGATCATGCCTCGGACGCTGACGAACTTGGACGAGCAATCTCCAGAAGACGTTGAGTATACCAAAGCCATCTTTATGCAAAGGTATGTGCTTCTTCTTGCATTTACACACACGTCTCATCTCGCCCAGCATGCCGCGTCTAACTCATTCGCCCGGTATCGTCCCAGTCCAGCCCAGTTTGCGGCATCTCCAGAAATGATATGTCGAGCCACCATCTTTCTCCGTCATGAACTGCGCGTTTAGCAAAATCTGATGTTGAGGTACGTGTCGCACCGCGTTTCTATGCTGACGGGTTTGGCGGGTACGAGTACAATGTAGGACAGTCGTACCCTTGAGCATATACTGCGACCCTTTACCGCGGGTTGGCGGTGTTTGGCGGGTGAATCAGGAACTTTGACAGCCGCGCTATGATTCTTTATACCACCTTTCTGAGAGCTTGAGGTACGCCATACTTACTTTTGTCATGTCTTTTTTCGGCCCATGAATCATCCTTAATAATTTATCAAGTTGACACTTTGTTACAGAGAAGTTTGGGTCACTACTGAGTCGTCTCTTCCTCACACAACATGACACTAGACTTTCTTTCTGCCCCAGGTATGCCACCCTTTAATCCTCTTTCGATCAATCAGACTTGCTTGTGTGCTACTCTGCGCCTTACTCGCACCGCAAACATAGTATGCTCTAGTTCCTCACGTTTATTATTTCTCTTGTGACATACTAGTACGAGCTGAATCTGCCGTCAAACTTCTCTCCGAGTTCCTAGACTTAGATGTATCGAGGGCCCCCGGCCAGAGGCACCCAAACACCGAACATTTGCACATGGTCAGTATAGTTTCTTTTCGTTCATATGTAATTCTGTTCTTGGACGTGCTCCTAGTTATATGCGGAGTAGCTGTGATCGATCGATTTATGACAATTTGGTGCGGGTGTGACATCCACGCTGGTATGATACCTCCCCAGATCCTCCGCCCCATAAGAACCGGTGGTGTTATGATTCCCGTTCTCAATCCCGGTCGCCTCCATCAGCAAAAACCCCCTTTTAATATTGGCGAAAATTGGATCATATTTTGTAAAACGTAGAAAATCATGTACCGTTTTCCCGAATGTGCGTCAATCCAATCCAATATTCAGCAAATTTGACTAATGTGTTAACAGGGCCACAGAATTCGCGCAAGTGAGGGAAAATTGTTTGGTACATTGGGAGTACTAGTACTCGTTTTCTCGAATGTGATCTTATTATACTAATTTACGTATGCCGTGAGCAGCAAGCTGGACTTCCAACAGATGAGCCTTTCTTGCCTCCTCACACTGCTTGATTTCAGCATCCCAACGATCTGCCACAAGTCTACACATGTAATTTTGAGAGACAGTTAAAGGGGCCAGAGTTTGACGGTATGGTGGAACAGGAGTTTCAGGTATTTCTGTCACAGGGGTAGCGCTAATCACAAATTCTGGCAATGGAAATCTGCGGATCAATGGTTTTTTAATCCTTGTCACTTGGTAAGAATCTGCTGACACGATGATATGATCAACGACTTACTTTTTGATGGGTGAGACTGGTGCCTTATGTTTGCCAAAGTCCAGGCCTGGGGAAGGCGAGCGCGGGCTACAAGTCCACTGGCAGTGAGAATGAATGATCTTACCCTCAGAATCAACCAACCGTTTCCTGGGACTTATATTCTCTTTCTCCGCAATCCAGTCCTGCAAGTTGGTCAGTTAGAGTATCTGTAGCTTAGAAGTGGAACCTGCGCACCATAAATATATCCAACAAGACACTTGATACACGTAAAACACGAGCAGATGATAGTCAAAGAGATTGAATCGACATGGAGAAAAAATTTGCGCACCAAGACCGAACCGTGAGAAACCATCTGTCAATGCCTAGAGACCCAATATCAGTCATCGGCCGGGCCATTGAAGTGTGTACAACAAGCCTTTTATTTAACTAGAATACAGTTACATATGCATCTCGGTCAGTGAAGTTGTTTACAAAAAAAGTGCTACACCGGTCTAATACGTTGCTCGTAGTCCATTCACGTGGAGCTACTGTCCCGAACTTGGGTATTAAGTGAATGGACCGTCGAACATTGCGAATAGGGACAATGCTGGATTGCCTGTCACCATCATAAAGTGCGCGTGAAACCTTATACATTCCATGGTTAATGTCTGGTGCAGTGAACAGCGTGAACCATTCGATGTAAGCAAGGTGGTCAGGCACATTGACATTGCCAAACAGTGCATGTTTGACATTGGCCGACAGTGAGAAGACCACGTGAACTTGCGCAACACGATATCCTGCAAGTCATTCGTCAGCCGAAGTGTCCCTGCATACACACATCAAGACACTCACCTTCAACACCCATTTTTCCGCCATTGCCCAGATTTACAAGTGCAGTATCAAACCTCGCTGGAACTTTCCTGTTGTGGCAGTCACGTCGGGCAGGTCTCGCATGGATTGCGTCAATGGTGACATTGTTTAGCATGCCATCATCACCCACAGTACTATAGCGGACCTTGTGGAATACCGCAACTGACTGGAATGGTAGATTGACATGGCAGGCAGCCTCTTCAGACTGCCTCACAGTCAAATCAGGCTGTGTCACTTGCATGACGAAACGAGCCACAGCAGCTTGAAAATGTACAGCACCATACTGCTCAGCTAGGGACGCAAACGTCACCCGTTTAACAGATGGGTTTTTTGTTAGCTTCGATTGTCGCAGATATACAAGGTCGGAGTGGGGTAGGGGATGACGCGATTGAGGGACATGAGCTGGGGCAGCACCATTGTGTAGACGCCATTGAATAAATTTATCGTGCCACAGCATCTTCTCTCGTCGCTCGAGCCAGAGGGTCATTTGCATGTATTTGTCCTTGTGATTTGTCGCGCGGTATGCATCCTTCGCTAGATCAATGTGAAGTCGTTCTGTATATTCAGTGTTATAATTGTCAGTGGTTCCGAACATTCGAATCATCATAACGTAGTGTCGGAAAGAATGGAGCTTTGGGAGGTTGAATGATGATCGGATACCTAGATCCATGAAGATAGACTTGTTGTCGTGAAATCGGTTGAGTGCACCACTCAGAAGCTCTAATGTCAGATCCGAATGACATGGGTACTGCGCGAGATATAAGAAGTCGAGGAGGCCTCGAACTGCGCGAATCAGTCTAACAGGGGATGCCCCATCAGGCAAACGGATGTCGATGATTAGGCCCAGAAGAAAGCGGCATATTTGCTGGTGCTCCGTACCGCTTACTCGCGACAAAACTGATATACCTTGCATAAATAGGTGGATATTGTGATTCGGAGGCAAACATTTGCACTGCGCATCAATTTCGGCCTCGCTGTAAGCTGATTTGATCCAAGAGATAAGGTGTTTGACAAGGCCTTGATATATCTGGTGGAGAACGTTGGGAGTGATTGCATTATATATATTACAGTGCGGGAGTCCCTCCCAGAAAGGATGATAAAGTGGTTTTATTCCTGAAATGAGTGCAAGAGTCAGAAACGGGTAAAACATAGTCAAAAAACCTTACCTGCATCTCGACAAGCCTTGGTGAATTGAGTCGGATCTTCATCGACGAGAGCGAGTGCATGTAAGATTTGATCCAAATCACGCATCTCAAAAGGTAGATCTTTGCTCCCAAGCTCCGTCAAAGGTATATCACATTTCGGACACTCTCCAGTCTTCATCCTAGTCACCAAGAGTTGCTCTGGGTAATCTCCAATATAACAGGCCAAAAGAGGGTGACCACGACGAAGGACTCCATCGCCGCTGGCTATTGACATCCCATCCTTGCCTGGCACAATGAGTGGCTCAACAATGTGACGGACACATGCATGAAAAAGATTCGCAAGACAACGATGCCGTGCTGCTTTGTTGGTGATGTGCTCCAGCTTTGTTGTGGGAAGATAACCAACAAGTATCTGCGCGTTACGAGAGGGTTGTCGTCGTATTTCTTTGGGGAGGTTTCCAATAGTCATGTAAATTGGGTACGCTGACTTGTTTCAAAACATCGTGACTTGGGTCTTGTCCGATGAGAGCAGGATGGGGATTATAGTTGCGCCAGGTTTTTCGTTTTTGAGATGTTTCTATACATTCAACTCAATTAGTGCAAGGCCCCAAGTCATGTATTAGTTCTCTCACCTGCGTATGCCACCACCAATTGCCTGTATACATATCATGATATATCCTCTGAGTCTTGTCTTCATCGGAATAGTGTCGTTCGGGGGCGAATACCAGGTGAGGTGCAAGTTCCGGATTTCCGAACAGTGCCTTGACGCATTGTAGGATATCCCGAAAGTATACATCAAAGGCCTCGCCAGCAACCAGGATCTCCTGGCGCCTAAAACGAGGACGGTGGGCAGGGATTTTGCTGTCGATAATGTGGTTTAGCTCGCGAGAATTCCTGTAAGAGAGGCCAAGCCGTTCGCAAACCTGTTGAAGTCAGTACCATAGTATTGCCAGAGAAAACATAAACTCACACCGTCAATGTTAAGTAGATCTGAGAAGGCAGTCGAACCTTGCCCCCTCAGCTTGGCCCACCGGGCGACTTCATAGTCAATATGTGAGGTGAACGGGGCCCAGACACAGCTAATTCCATCTTCACTCATCTTTTCACCATACGACTGATATCCATTTTGCTCACTAACAATTTCAATATAGCGGAACCTCGGAACCTCGAAGTCCAAATTTGTAAGTGTCAATGTCAATTTTTTCAGTTGCGCATCCGACTGACCCAATTCTCTTTTTCTCTCACTCTATCAGATCTTTTCAATGTCGACTCCGACCGAAAAGGCTGCTGCAATGCGTGCAGCCAAGCTGAAGAGACGTGTGGAGGCCACCGCTACTCCAGAAGTGTTGGCTTCCCAGTCTGCTCCGAGTCGTACGTTTTCTCAGTGTCGCTTTGTTTTTCTAATGCGCCTGAACATCTGGCATAAAGGACCCTCCCGACAATCCAAGGTCACAGCACTGAAAAATCAAGGTACGCATCAACGGCTGTCTGAGTCGAGCCACATCTTCTGACTCACTTGAGCAAATTACAGTTTGGATGCCAGACAAGAAGACACGAAAGCGGGCCGCATCGAGCACGGCTGAGCCTGAACACGTCAAGCAGGCACGAACCTGTAAGTTTCATCAGAGTTTGGTCTATTGTGAACTCACACTGATTTATTATATGCCATAGCGGGCCCAAAAAATACTGACCCTATGAACAGAAAATGGAAGAGCAGTGTTCCACAGCCAGCAGCGCAACTTTTCGAGTCTGACTCAGACGACTTCAAGGTTGATGGAAGCGATGGTGCCGAATCTGATTCTGGAGCCGAGTCAGACGACAAACTCGACGAATCAGATGATGACAGTATTCTGGGACTCATTGGTGACAAGCTAAAGGCTACCCTAGACTATGAGGTATGTGCTATTGTTATCGATGATTTTACATCTGAGTGTCTTCATTATTTGCATAGTGTCCTCAAATTACTACACATAACGACGGTATGTGACAACCTCCTCCTACCAGTACTTAAGTGACACTCTCATTTAGACAGCCGCAGTGCGGCTTCATCATTCAGCTCAATCCCCCCTAGTACATCACCGGACTCTGACAATGACGACCCCGTTCATACCATGGACTCTGCTGCGGAGGATATAGGGCCCGGGAACAGTCAGCTTACTAACATGAAGAAATCCGGCCCTCGCTATCGCTCTTCCAAGCTGAAAGAGACCAGTAAGGCCAATCAGAAAGGGGCGCTGTCAAAAGGAAGTAAATACCTGAAGCAAAGAGAACAAGAGGTGAATGAGTCTCGTTGATTCTCTTGAACATTCACTCACTGCACTCGTTGTTTCAGAAACCAACTTGGTGCACGCCAGACAAGGTTGATGACACCACCAGTGGGCCACCTGCAGATGATGAAGCAGTGTCAGCACGGTCTATTTGTTCACGCGAAGATGACTGGTTGCCTTCTTGTCGCATCGTATATAGCAGTTCCGGTAAGGTCAATTTAACCGAGCAGCAACCTCACATCCAGGACTTGCTGCGGGCCTCAATTACCTGCCTTCACGAGCACATCCTCTTCGAAAATGCGTACTTGGACCTCCAGCAAAGGAGGAAAATTATGGCCGACATACTCTTGTCATGTGCGAAAGATGGAGAGGAATTCGTAGATGTGAGAAAACGGCTTACGAAGGATGCGAAGTATGTACGTGCGTTATCTTCCGTGGTATGTGTATTATGTTGCCTTGAGTTTACTACTGTTTTCTCAACTCATTTGCAGCCTGAAGGTCGTATTGGCACCATTCGCGGGAACGTCAGGAAGGTTGCGCAAGCACATGTGGCAAGCCACTATGGTCTCACGAAAGGTGCTGATGACAGGGTCGCGGACCTTCTCAAGAACAATGCATACATTTATCCGGTGAACGCGAAGGTTCATCAAAGATTTATCGTCTATTTTATGTTTGAGCTGATGCCAGTGGCTTCATACATTACAGGGGGACCTTATCCGAACCAAACCATTTCAAGCGTCGGCGATTTTGGACACCATCGAGGATGCATTCTTCAGCGACGAGCTCGCAGCGGGAGTAAAGTGGCATGACCATCTGACATCAACAATTGATGATCATCCTGACGAGGTTGAGCTGCCTGTCGCGATGGTGGCACTTGCTAGCGCTGCGGTATGTTTTAATTGCTGTGGGTATGTTATATGTATTAATCAATCACACAATTCAAGGTGTGCTCCGTCATTATGCAGTACTCCTCCGAAAAATTCGACCGAGACTTCAACTTGGACATGTACGGCAGGATCTATCGGACATTGATTGGCATGTTGAATGGCATCTTCAAGGCCAGCGAGCGCAAATTTCACGTACTCGTACACTCGCTGTACAAGTGTCACAACCCCTTAAACGAATTAATGCAGGGCAGAGACTAGGACTCAAACAACAAGATAATCACAAAGAGGATAAGGCAGCAGGTACGTCTTGAATTGCTCACTTGGAGATACAAGAGGTTTGAACTAAAGAACTACTGACTACGACGAGCTACCTATATACACATATTGAAACTGAGATCGAAACTGAGTATGAACTAACTAACCAATCAGAATAATTAAAGGTATCGTACGATTCTATATATAACTATGATGTCATAACATGTGCCGCAGCCGCAGTAAGACTCTGGAACATTCCAAGAGTGTCGCGAGGCATGACATCAGTATCTTCGGCATTGTCCGATAGATCACGTGACTCTGGTAATTCTACAATAGACGCAATAATAGGAACTTCTTCAACAGTAAACACATCCTTAGGAACAGGCGCTGTGACTGGGCGCTTAAAGGACTTAGAATTAAGGAACGAATAATGATTTGTATTTGGAACTCGTGACAACAAGTCTGTCTAGTGAGTTCTATCTTTTTCGACACTTGTCATTGTCTGATTCCATCGTGTTGTAGTGGGTCGAAGCGCAAGACTGAAGAACCTAGCGCAGCCGATAGTCTCATGTTCCTCGATATTGATGGTATGGCGGAGGACTGATACTGGTCACACATTGTATTGTCTAGATTTCAGATCCAATGGTACTCATTTGATAGCATTGGACAAATTTTAACTGCCTGAAAATCATGTTCTGCTTGACGCAAATTCTGTTCTGATTGGCGAAAAGTGAGATCCAATTGTCGAAAATTCTCAAGGGACTAAAATAATGGATCGAATGTTCAAATCCATCGAATTCTCGCAGATTCACGCAAGTTGTATCATATTTCATCCGATTTGAGAAGAGCGTTTTTCCTGATGTCATCACTGGTTCCGATCTCGGTCTCAGTTATCTCGACTTCCTTCCCCAATCCTGCCTGACGGCGTCCCGAGCACAGAAGAACTCCTCCTACAACCTACCTTCAAGAAAGTTCTCTAGACCATCTCTCCCAAGATCGCAGGAACCATCGACGAACTCACAGCGCGGTCAGCGAGCGTCGTGATATACCTGATACCTCGAATGACCGATAGAGTCACCTTGACAACACTCAGGAGCAGTCAACGAATTCTACAAAGGCAAAGAGAAAAGAACCAGAAGGTCATCGCACACCTCTTCAGGGCAAGAGTGAATATCCCTCGAGTAGCACGCTGCCACGCATTTCAGGAGAACTTGTGCCGAACGCTGTTATCGAATCCAAAGAGACAGCGAATCACATACCCCGGAAATCGGAAGTTCAATACGCCTGTAGAGCCCAGTCTCACCCCGCGCCTGCTTGTGTTCCAGTAGATCATTGTTGCTGATAGGATGAACATCAATCCAGAGCCTGTAGCTCCTACATCGCGTAAACCCCCAAGCACGCCCGGTCATCCTCATCAAAACCGCACTTTACTTGCATCAGTCCAGGCTCATCTCTCCCAACCCACTCCATCAAGCAACAAGCATCATGCAGGCGCAACTGCACGGAAGAACGATGTCGCTCCTAAATTTTTACCTCACCCATCAGGACACCGAGATGCCCGTGATGATAGCGGTAGTGGTGATGGTACGCCTGTCTTTCTTTCGCAGTTGGCGAACCTTTCTGCCAACGCGCCGCCTGCTTCGTTGTTTTTTCATCCTTCTCTCAAGCGGCGCTCAGATGTGTTGATGCCTCTCGAGGAAGAACGTACGTCGGATGTAGGACATCGACACGAAAGAATTTGGAGCTTGCTTGCCGATTCTATCGCTACATGCACCAATGAAGGGAACATGTTAGCTGCAGAGGAAACTATCGCTTGTCCGTGCGGTACGCCGGGCGGAGGGACAGATACATACAGAAACGAAAGTAAAGCAGAACAGCGCACCAATACATCGCCGTGCCTCGTCATCAACCCTGGAAGCGTCGACGCGCATCCCGCCCCTTCATTAGGACTACCCCCAAACCTAAACCCTATTTCATCGCCGCACAACTCTACTCACGTCGATATCCTTTTCGATGTGGCAGAGTATATCCGGCGTGGCAATCGTGAAGTCGCAACATATGAATCTAGGAACAGAATAATCGCACCATCAGCATGCACTTCCACAGACATGCGCGCAGTATTATTGCAGAGACTTGAAGAGGAGCAGCGATTGGCTCAGAGATATGTTACAACCCCGATCTCACACTCTGTGTCGTTAATTGCAGATCCCCTGTTGACACGTCCTCCGGGTGGTGGGCTGATCAGCTCAACAAGTACGGCGCGACCTGTGGAAGACTGAGTCAGCCGGGTAACACTGAGTTCCTGCATCATGCTCTCATGGACTGTCAGTCTGACTACGTCCTGTGATCCCATATCTTCCGCAGCCATCCAAAATCTCGTAGACTAGGCTAACTTGTAAGCCCAAAGAGTGTCACAGTTACGTGTCCTTGAACGTCCGAGTCCGGTTTGCAGAGTCGATAGCCTTAGTATGATATGCTGATTTGGACTCTTGCGTATGAGAGATGAAATGTAAGCATAATTTCTTCGAATTCATTATGACTGCTTTATGCGTTTATCAAGTCTTGATACAAATTCTGAAGTGGTTGCAGAAACGTTGAAAATTTGAACATGCAAGACGTACAGATTACATAATATACTTTCTTCTTAACTTGAATATGATACGCGTCAAAGCCCGTGGCAACTTGGGGGCCGTGCGGCGTGCCAGTCACGCGTCTAACTTAGCGCACTCTGGTTTCGTGCTAATCCACCTTGCAAGACACTGAGAGATAAGATGTCGTATTACAACAGGTAAGATTCCAAGGCTTCTGCCGCAACTCTCAGGTCTAATGGAGTCGTTTATTAGTCCTCCTCCTCCATACCAGCAACATGCTTCAACCACGCCACAAGCATTCCGTCCTGGCCATTCTCACTCTACTGCACAAGGACATACACATAACGGTAATTCGCAGAACTATGGGCATCACGGACATGGTTATGGACGCCAGCCCTCGATCGCGGTACCAAAGCGCCCCGTTCCCCGGATCGTGTAAGCCTTCATTCTTCACACATCTCTTTCGACAATAGTCATTGATGGAGGTGATTAGAATTCATCCCAGGCACGATGTCTATAGCACAAAAGCATAGGCAGTTGTTGATACTTATCTTTAGGTCCAATGAAACCGATCCTCTCCTGTCGAGAGAAAGACTTCGACAAAACCATGACGTAGCATGTTACTTCTTCATAACTATCGGAGCTATATTCATTTTGGGGGTGTTTCATTTCCTCCCGTCTACGCCCCCCGATAAGATTGCCTGGACCAATCTTGAATCTCATTCCTGCACCAGTTATGCAACAAGGGAGTACGTAGCAGAAATGAATGTCTCACCTTGGAGCCGCCAGTGGACGAATATCTGCACGAGTACTCCAGTGGTTGTCCATGGCCAGCCTCACTTTCCCTCCAGATGTGAATATGTTAGTTGACGTTTTTCGTTAGTCCTGATAATAGAATTTGACTTGGTGTAGCGTTCAGGTACGGTGATTGGTCATTTCGCCATCAAATATAACGAACCAGACTGCGTCACATACTGGAGTGGATATAGGGATTGGGTAAGATTAAAGTTTTACTTTGCACCTAAACTCACCGCTCTGCCCCATAGGGATGTACCGCTAAGGGCTCGCACAAGAGAGTGAGAAGCATATGCATTGTTCTCTGGGACTTGATTTGATCTTTATTGTAGCACATTGAGCAACATCTCATGAATGTACCGGCCAACGCAGACTATAAGGAATTCTGTGCGACAACGCCTGCTCGTTTCTTAGACTGGGAATTCTCTGGTGCGGACTCGTGCTTCAATAGCGTACGTGCAATTGAGCCATCGCTCCTAAATTTTATCTGACATAGCTCTAGATCTGGGGTGTCTATGGGCAGTGGTTCATCAACGACCCAAGTTGTTGAAACGAGTGGAGCATGGCTTCTCATACCTATTGATGACCACTTTTACCTCTATTTTTTCCCAGCATTCGTGTTCTATTTACTGATGAAAATTGTATTATGTACCTACCCGTGCGGCCCGTTGCACGTTTCGAACGAAGTGACCAAACGGCATCTGCAACCGTGCCAGGGCGAGTTATCGAGGACTTTCAGTACTGTCTGCAGCACTCAGTACGCGACCTTACCTCTGTGGAGCAACTCGACCATTGCTGTGGCAGCCGTAGGAGCAATCTACAATCAGAACCGAACAAACGAACAAATACGTACGCCACGGGGGTAGCAAGGATAGCCCACGGGTAACTCACTGAAATCAAATGCTACGGCTGCGCTCAATGAATTGAGCTGTGACGACGCAGGAGTGAAGCAGATTCATTCAATCTGACGGTGTGTGTGGCACTAGTACAGAACAGAATAATAAAGTATTATGCAGAAATGTCATTAAACGAGTAAGTAACAGGAGAGCAAGGAACTGAAAACTTGATATACAACACATGTAATAATATAGTGAATCTTCTAACTACACACCTATGTGAACAAATACAATCTGCTGTTCTAATGGAATCTTCTTGCGAAACGATTTCATGAACTTGTGCAGTGCTACCGCAGCGCGCATGCAGTCCAATCTTTTCGAATCATCAATCAGGTTACGGTAAAAAGCAGACACGACCTGGCGAGCAACCTCGTCGTCAACAGACCACGTGGAACCAATCACACTGCGAAATCCGCAGAATTACATAGCTGTAGCGAGATGGATCGATAAGAAAGCAAACTGCGGGTTCTGCCAGTTGGATCGGGTGATGTCCCTGGTCATCAATGGGCCGTCGTGCATGGCGAAGGAAGACTCGAACGGCTGTGTCCGATTCGGCATTCCATGGCAGGCAAGATGGAGCCACTGATTATGATTGAGTGCATCGAGTGCACCATTGGCTATTGCGTTGTCATCCTCGAGGGATGTGAAGGAGACAATGAGAGCAACGTGCTGAGCAACAACGGCCAGCTCGAAAGCGACACATTTAAGCTCCTTCCCTTTCACCGGGTTGCCTTGACCGATGGCAACAGAATGTTGCGAGGACGCATCTCGAGAAACATGCTGTCTTCGCACGAATAAGAGTCGCCAAAGTGGGGGTGTAAGAGAAGATAAAAAATTGTCTCTCCTCTTATCGTATGGTCCTGTTGCATGGATGGGAAGCAGCGTGAACTCAGGAATGGGACAACACCAGATACAGAACCAGGGCGAACGTTTGACTCCCTGAGAGCTTGGACCACGAGGTCAACAATATCATTCCAAAGCTTGCGAAGGATGCCGACAAGCTTGAGTTGATGATCAGAAGACCCAGACTGCTCTGCGAGTGATTGGAACTCCTCGGAGAATTCCGACACTTCGACTTGTGTGATATCAAGCGAAACATGAACATGATCTTCCACTCTATGGATGATCAAGGCGTCGCAGCTGTGCTGACTAGCATTGAGGATGATCACTGGACCATCTTCAGCGGCCGTCTGGAGGTCAGAAAACAGTGGAGGCAGGAGAAAGCGTGAAAAGTGGAGAAGCATGCGCATATGTGTGATGACATCATCCCATTGCATGATCAGCTGCAAGATTTGCGGTGATCGGTCTTCAGTGAATTTATCGACCACGTTACGAAGACGAAAACTCGATTGGAATGACACCGGGGGAGTAGCCCCAGTGCGGCCCGATTGTGCTCGATGGCCTCATCAAGGTCAAACGTGATGCCTTGCTGCAGCCATCTGTCTCGAAGGCTGAATGCAAGATTGTTGAGAACGAAGGATCGAAGGATCGAAGATAATGGTCTGGAGGGCAAAGCTGCAATGGAGTGGGTGAATACACACTTAATAGAGAGCTGAAACTGCACCAGCGCATCGAAGACCTGCTAGTGTGAGGAAAATGATACGTTGAGTGCTCATCGATCCCGGGAATTTAACGGCGAGCCGCAAGACCACGGTGAGGTTGACTCACCGAGGCTCTGTTTGAGAACCACATGGGGCTGGGGTATTGCAGCCTCGGTAAAGCAAAGCGTGCCAATAGAAAACATGATGATCTACCTTTACCGATATTAGCAATATAAAGCAGTTGTTCGATCGAATTGAGTTCTGTGCTACTACGATGATGGTCAATGTTTGATTCATAGAAGACTCAACACTGTCAACAAGCGTCCATAATAGTAGTACTTTCCCAAACACAATTGTAATCCATTATTCGACCCTCAATATTCAATTGTCATTTTCTTTCAATCCTTGAACTTCTGCGCGCTGGGCTGTGTTTTCCTGTAATCGACGAAAATCTGTTGGAATTTGTCGGGACTCGTCTAAATCTTGTTGAAAATAACGCAAGGACGAGATGAGTTCATTAGCCTTCCTAGTGACTGAATTGCAAGTGTGTTTGTGTTTACAACGATAATCCGCCAGATCCACTTATACCTTCGTCCAAAGTCCCTTGCTAGCGAGTCCAGGAGAAAGCATCCAGAAATACGCGAGGTACGACGGAAAGTGCTCATCCCATGTACTGGTGTCTTACCATGTCCATGCAAAGGCAGCAGAGAAGTCGCTTGCCATACTTAGGTCCTCTCCGGAGCAAGCGACAGCATCTTTGGCATCTGGTACGTGATTCCATTCAAACGTGCCTCACTTTCTTCATCGTTCACCCACAGACAGCGCACAGTCAGATGACCTTCTCCGTCCAGTGTTCATGGGGTGTGCGACCAAAAACGCGAAAGTAGTCGCCATCTCGTTGGGGTCGCTGCAGCGCTTGATAGCCCTCAAGGCTGTACCACAGTCTGTTGTCCCACTCATCGTAAGCACGATGAACGATGCCATGAGCCAAGGCGTGGACATTCAACTTCGGATCCTGCAAACCTTAGTCTCTTTGATCACTAATTTTTCTTCAATACACGAAGAGCTCCTGGGAGAGGTACATTCTGTCTATACCTCCTGGTACCTGTCTGATTACCTGTCAAAGGCATTGCTTCTCTGTTTTAAGCTGCAGGATTCTAGGATCGCGGTAGTCTCTTCAACAGCAGCAGCCACCCTGCGCCAACTGGTCATGTTTATCTTTGAAAAAATGGTCAACGAGGATCGTCAAGAGAACGACGATACTCTGGAGCTGTCTGAGGCGACGCTTCCGGACGGTAGCACCAAAGCGTTAGGACCTTGTGCCAAGGATGCATTCTCTGTCTTCGAAGATCTCTGTCTCCTCGCAAATTCAGAGAGACCCAATTTCTTGAAGCTCGACTACCTACATAAGACCTTCGCCTTGGAGTTAATTGAGAGTGTACTGACGAACTACCACGAGCTGTTCAGGAAGGCAAGTTTGTCAGTCCCATTTAGCTAATTCATACTAATGCTCGTCGTAGCACGCGGAGCTTTTGATGTTGCTGCAACACCATCTCTGTCCACTCATTCTGAAATCTCTCTCCGACAGACATGTCTTTCCGTTGACACTGAGATGCACACGAGTTGTGTTCTTGATCTTGAAGCAGTTCTCATTCGAGCTAGAGACGGAAGCTGAAGTATTCCTGATGCTTCTCATAAGAATGATCTCAGAAGATTCCGACACGTCGAATTCGGACCATTCTGGCTCACGACCAATATGGACCAGGGTCCTTGCGATGGAGATAATGAGAGGGTATGTCTTAAGCTTGACACCCCAAAGTTGGCACTCAAGTTTCTTTTCAGGGTATGCAGCGATGCTGAGCTTGTCCGAAACATATGGGATCGCTACGATGCGCAGCAGCCGGGCTCCAAGGTCTTCAGCTCTATGATAGTCGCATTGAAACGCCTTGTTACTGAGAAACCCGCTCTACTCGGAGTGAGCGCGCAGATGATGGGGGTCGGAATTTCTCATACGGGTGATAGTGCTGCACCATCGGGATCCAATTATGGTCTGGATGTGGGTGGGGTTGCTGGAATGGTCGCCACGGCTGCAAGTGCTACCGTGTCAGGAGTAGTCGGGATAATTGGGTCTGGCATTGGTCTAAGCGTGCAGAACTCGGCCATGAAGCTCCAATGGTACAGTCCTCATTTCACATCTCACGGACTACCCTGAACCATCTTTCCTGACCAGCATCGATCAATTAGATAAAGCGGACTCGCCACCGATCCCCGAAGCATACATTTACCTTCTCGCTGTGCAGTGTATTGTCTCCCTATGCGAAGGGTTTGCGTCATTCACTGGACCACTGTACACGTCCATAATGGTTCAACGTCCTCGAGCGGCTGGCGAGCCTGTCATTCGCGCACCCGCCGCTCTTGACCTCTCCACACTCCCGCAGGACGATCATGCAACTGAGCACCTCATCATCGTGTGTTCTATGGTTGAGAACGGCTGGCCTGCGCTTCTCGCAGCCCTCTCATTTATTATCTCGACAAATCTGTCAGACGAGCTCTTCATAGACGTTCTTAGCAGCTATCAAGCTTTGACGAACGTTGCTGGGATGCTCGCCCTGAGTACTCCTCGCGATGCATTGTTCAACTCACTTTCCAAATTTGCGATACCTTCGCGAGTAGTGTCCAGCTTGGAATCCTACGTTGAACCTCCGACACCACGAACGTCAACTTCCTTCACAGATAACTTGGGGTTGACAGCACCTATCCAGGCTCCAGGACTTTCCGAGCGAAATCTAGCATGTCTCAAAGTCTTGGTATCCAGTGCCCTTTTCCTTGCTGGCAGCCTGGGAGAGAGCTGGTATGGTATTCTGGAAGCTTTACAGAACGCGGACTACGTCTTGAACGTCAAAGCGTCGCAAGCATCTACCAACCGGCGGATGAGCACACCCATGACACCCAGTCGATCAGTGTCAGCGATGAGCTCCACTGAACAGGGGAAAGTGGCTCGTCATCCCCTCCTCATGGATATCGATTCAGAGAGCGTGCTTGCTGCTGTGCAGCGCCTCTTCGATGCGTCCAAAAACCTGGAGGATTCAGCTTTTCAGGACTTTGTCACCGCGCTCTGCAAACTTAGCTCAGAGATGGTTGGGATGCAATCTGATGGGAGCACGCTGACTGAGTCGGAGGATTACTTGAGTCCTGTACCGATTTCTCCTCATAGAAGGCGGGTCAGCGGAATTCATCTGCCGCGCACTCTGGTAAGTCAGGGTTGATCCTTGTGCGTCACAATCTAACATCTTCTCAGCGTCAGGGCGATTTCGGTGTCGAGCGGCTGGGTTCAGTAGCGATGCTAAACTTCCATCGCCTCATCTATCGTGCACCTGAGGTCGCATGGAACACTACTACAAATCATCTTCTGTGGGTCATGGGTCTCTCCTCAGCACCGCAGTCAATACGAGTGCAGGCGGCACGCGTCCTCGACGAAATTCTTACCGTGGTCCCCCGTAACTTGTCATCCACTGGAGACCTGCAGGCTAAAGTTCAGCGTCGCGTTCTCGACGTTCTATCTAAACAGATAGTACCCGCATCATCCGACGTCCCAGCGACGAGCACGAATATTGAGCTCCGGCGAATGGGATTAGAGACCCTGCACCAAATTCTACAAGCGTCCGGACACACTTTTATCGTCGGGTGGGGCAGCATTTTTGAGATGCTAGGGAGCATCTGTAAACCCGCAGCTCTCTCCAGATCTCAGTCGGTTGATTCCATCAGCACACTATCGCTTCAAGAGACGCCCCGTCTAAAGCCACTGCCTCTGGGGTATGTTAGCGACCGCGGCTACACAGCACTGGTGAAGATCGCCTTCCAGTCCCTCAAACTTGTCTGTGACTCCGTGTCTGTATTATCCCCTGAAGACTTGCGGCTTTGCATCAAAACCCTTGGACAATTCGGTCGACAAGCCGACACGAACATTGCGCTTACTGCTGCAGAAAGCCTTCTCTGGAGTGTGTCGGATTCGATCCAGGCAAAGCGGAAGGATGCAGAGATGGAGCCGGAATATAGCGCTCTGTGGATGTGTCTGCTGCTGGAAGTTCTAGGTCTCTGTACTGACACCAGGCACGATGTTCGTGTAGGCGCCATCCAGACCCTTTTCCGTGCAATGCAACTTTATGGCGCCACGCTTACGCTGGATACGTGGAATGACTGCATATGGAAGATCACATTCCCGCTACTCGACACAATATCTATCGAAACCCGGCGCAGTGCCTTTGAGCCCGGAGCTCTACTGAATTCTGGTCTGGTGGCGCAGTCTCCCGAACATGCATGGGACGAATCGAAGAGTCTCGCATTGCAGTCGATTGGATCTATTATCAGCGATTTCCTAGTCGTCAAGATCATGCATCTAGAATCCTTCTCAAAAGCATGGTCCGTGTTTGTTACCCACGTTCATGATACCGTATCCTTGGACCGTCGAAACTTGAGTCCGCCTGCATTACTTTGTTTGGGGAAAGTGGTGAAAGCGCTTTCTGGCGCAGACGCCTCTCTGCAAGCCAAAGTGTCGGAAGCTTGGGAATGCGTATGGATGGCGTGCAGTGACATAGGGAGCATGGTTCTCCAGGGTGAGAGATCCCAGCTCTCTCCGAGTACGAATACGACACAGCACCACCGTGCATTTACTCAGGAGAGTTTGGTTGCTCTCGTCGACGTCATACGGAGCACACGTTCCATTAGTCTGACCCAGACGAAGAAGGAATGGCCGCTTCAGCGCCTCAATCGTCTGATGGAAATTCTCAAGGGCATGTCTCCCTATTTCTGCTGTCGTCTCCTTTTCTGAGCCATGCACAGGTGTTCTTACTTATCCTGACTCGACGGACTACCGCCCGGATGTTGATGGTCTGTCACCCGTTCAGGTAGGTGAATGTTGAGCATCCACTGAACACCATCGTCTCATTAACATGACAGGTAGTGGTCTTGGACGCCATCGCGGATATCAACTTAACGGGATCTGGTATTCCATCTCTCATCTTACGAGATCTCTCAGAATTCAGCACACTTCCGTTTCTGGCTGCTTTTCATGTGCCCATCTTGTCTCCCGCCTCCCCGGCAACGCCTATTGCGGCATCGTTTCAAAAACAAGTCACGTACATTGCGTTGTCCAAGAAGGTCATGCCGCTTATCGTTGAGTTGTACATGCGCTTCAAGGATGAGCTCGAGATCTATGAAGATGGGACTTTGGAAGCTATCTTCTCGGTATGTGTCATTGATGATGTCCTTGATTTTCGAATGCTCATTTGATTTCGTGCTTAGGCCTATTCAATACCGATAAAGTTAAAGTACGAGTGTCCTGCTCCATCAAAGTTTGGCAAAGATCCTCCTCTGTGGAAGACTGCTACAACAAGTTTCCTCCGTATAGTCACTGACTCGGTCAGAAGGATGGCAACATTCGGCGATCGTACGTAGTTAACGACCTAGTTGACTTCATCTAATCATGAAATACAGGTATATCTGATACACGAATTGAGGGCATATGGCGACAAATCATTGAAGTCTTTCGGGGTGGCATTTTGGCTGATTGGTGCGCATTTTATCCTTATCTCCTTCTCGTTCTGTCATTCTCTTGCACCCCACAGCTAACTCGTTTGCAGCACTGCGATAGAGAGTTTCTCACTCGAAGATCAGGAAGCGGAGGAAAACTTCGATCTGTCTCTCATCAGCTCATTGGAGATTGATCTCGTGCCACATCTGGGAGACACGAGAGTCCCTGATCACCTCATCGCACAGTTCGCCAAGATCTTGCACAAGGGCAGCCAGTTGTACAAGTCAAGTATGGATCCCTCACGCCCTGATTCGCCCTTGACAAATACTGCGAATATGTCAGACGACTCTCGGGACTCGCACGACTTTGAAAAGATGGACCTTGACGTCGGAACAACTGCCCCCGGGGTCCTAGTTTCGAGGGAGCGATTTTCGTTTTGGTGTTTTGATCTTTTGTTCTTGATATGCTCTAATGTTACAAGCGGTAAACCAATCATTCTGCACGCATTTCCAGCGCTAACTGTTTTCATAGATCAACAGTCTTCAAGGAAACGAGTTGCTGCACTTTGTCTACCGACCTTACTTGATCGATGCAAAACTACTATGGTGAGCTATGTCGCTGATGAGGCTCTTCGCGGAAATATGCCTTTCCCGAGGTAAATTGTGATCATGTCGCATTATTTTATGTCGCTGAACCAACTTTGACAGGGCTCGTGAAGACGAACTGTTGTATGTACTCCGTAAGGTACTGGATTTACAGCTTTGGTCAGGAACCCTGTGGGCTGCACTGTCAGAGTCGCCATCGAAGTTCAGTGATTCTCAACCCGGTACCTGTTCCTTTGCTCTATAATCTGATTTGCGCTGAACGTCTGCTTAGCCGTTGATGTCAGTCTTTCACCGTCTGCACTCATTGCGGATGTGGTGAAACGGTCGCCAGTGGCTCATATCTTCTATTTTTATTCGGTGTTGTGTGAAATCGCTTCTATCCCTCGGAAGACGCCATCGACATGGGTGATTGCGAATTCCTCACCACCCGAGATCAACCAGGAGAGAAGAGGCAATGTTCTACGGCATCATATTGGTGCTCTGGAAGAAGGTGGGGATGCAATAGAGATAGATGCGAGAACACTTGCGAGGAAGGCGTTGCAGATTCTCGGGAAGGAGATGGGCACGATTTAGCAATGGATGGTGTGGTCTACTTTTGCAAGAGTTATTTTATTTTGATGCCTAATATCTATGAACTTGGAAGGGTAGCACAGGTCCCGGTCATCTATCGCAACGTTCAAACTGGCTTAACCGTGATCAGTTCTGGGGACGTGCACTAAGAGGGGTGGGTGAGACTCCTCGTTCCCTTTTTCCTTTATCTCGTTATCTTGATCACACTATCGGTACCATACTGTCCGTTGCTTCTTGACTTTTGCGCCTTATGGCACTTCCGCTCGTCGATCCTCCGGTGTTACATTACCTACTAGTAAGTATCTCCGCAGGTACATATATGTCGTCGCGTCTCTCGTTGACACCTCAGTACTCAGTACTTATTGTCTCCTAACACTACTGAGCACTCGCTTCTCACTAGCGCGTATAGTGGGCACACAAGTGCCAATGTCACCCTGCTTTGCACCCAATACTCTCATCAACTCCTTCCAACCGAATCTATGAGCTATTGCGGTGGCTGCGTCAGGGAAGGTCAGGGAGTGGCAGGTCACACTTTGTCATCTGAAGCCAGCCCCGGAAGCCCCTGGTCATATTTCCTTTTTCGGTTTCGCTACTTATATCACGTTCCGTTCCAACTCATCTGTTTGTTCCTAACGCTGAGGTATGTACCGTCTCGTTCATCCCGCTTGTCTTGTCTCGCTATAATATTATAGCCCGATGTATTCTCCGATGTATTTAGAATGGTTTTTGTGAACTATTCTAAACACATCAGAGAATAGCTTCCGCCGCCTGGGCAACAAAATCGCACGTTTGGCAAGTCCTGGTCTTCGACAGATAGTTACCTTATGGTCTTCGACAGCCGCGATAGTTGCACTAATGATCAATGTGATTATACTTAGTATGACCATCACGGCTGCCGAAGCCAGGACTTACCAAACAGGCAGCGTGCCTACTTAGTCAAGATTTACGACTGGACCTATAATATTCACGTATGAGTACCTGCTGTCATCAGAACTGTCACTGGTACTATATTCGCGTTATTTTGTTTATCCAAGTCGTCCTTCACGCGGACGCTCCAAGATGGGCACGATTTAGCAATGGATGGTTTCGTCTACTTTGCAAGAGTTCTTTTATTTTGAAGCCTAATATCTATGAACTTGCCACGATCGATTTGAATGGGTAGCACAGGTTATCTATCGCAACGTTCAAATTGACTTGAGCGTGATCACTTCTCGGGACGTGCACTAAGAGGGGTGGGCACATCGATGCCGATGTCACCCTGCTTTGCACCCAGTACTTCCATCAACTCCTTCCGACCAAATATATGAGCTGCCTCTATCGCGGTGGGTTTGCCTATCCTCGGATCTGCGCCAGCTTCGACCAGAACACGCACAACCTCATCGTGCGACTTGAACACAGCGCCCGCGATCATAGATTGACCAAGATCGTTGAGCCTGTTTGGATCTGCTTTCCGTTGCAGAAGTCCTTTAGTCAATTCCACGTGGCCTGCGTATGCTGCGAGCATCAATAATGTGTTTCCTACATGAATGTGTCGTACGTCATTCTGGGATATGGGACATATGTCGCCGATGACTCGGACGCACCTTTCTCATTTGTAAGGTTGACTGGCAAGCCCTTGTCGACTGCTTGAAGAATGAGCTCTGTATTTCCCCCCCGTGCAGCTTCAAACATTCGGTGTGCAAATTCGAGGGTCTCAGCTGGTAGGGTGTTGGTATTGGACTGTGTGGGAGCTGCGACATGATCGAGCACTTGCGGGGATGATTCAGTTGCCTAGCAGCGCGCCTCAGATTTTACAGATCTGATGGTAGGAAGGAGACTGACCATCGATAGATTAGGTTCGACCAGTGCGTTCAGTGCTCTGAAGAGATGCTCGAGTCAAGCATGGCAGTATCTGTAGCGCCTAAGTGGTTGTTCGGAAAGTGCCGGGTTATCAACCTCGCCAGAAAGTCTAGCTGTACATCAATGATGTGGACACTGGACAGTCTGGGAACAAGTCTGTCACAGAATCTGGGGTGGGTCCGAGGGGAAGCGTGGTGCCGCTCGGCTCAATTCGGGTCAGATATTATTTATAGCTGACACGTCACGTGAGGGCTGACACATTGTCTCGATGTGTGGGTGGCTCCGAGCGAAACCAGAGTTCGGTGGGTGGAAGGAGATACAGGAACGTCGAGGTGGATACTAATAAGCGGGAAAAGGAAGTTTTGGGTACGCAATAGCCCGTAGCCTTGCACTAGCAGTATGGAACGTTGAATATTGATCGCGCCAGTATTACGGCTACTAGATGAATCCCCTCTATGGTAAGTATAACTCACTGCTTCTGGTGCATTACAAGGAGGTCGACTTCTGACTCGGGAGAAGACTGATGCGCATACAAAAATAAACGCAGAATGGTATTAGACTCGGAGACAACTCGGAGATGAGGAAAGGCAGTAACCGGCCCTCCCAGTGATGATTCCTACTATGTGCCCATCAGGCAGCTCGTGCCCAAGATTCCCCCGTTAAAAAATAACTGTAGTGACGAGGAGCGTGGTGGAGGCAAATGATGTTGTTGGTTGTCAAACTGCAAGCATATATGGTGTATGACATCATTATTCACCAATCAATTGGTGGCACAATGGACACTTTTGCGATTGCTCTACATGTATGCAGGTAGAAAATGGAAGTCGTTGTTAACTAGGGTCCGCCGTTCTATTTTCAGGATTCTGTCACGGCTCTACAGCAAAGTTGTCAATACTTGAAGCATATCAAGAACAAAAGATCAAAACACCAAAACGAAAATCGCTCCCTCGGAACCAGGACCCCAGGGGCAGTTGTTCCGATGTCGAGGTTGACCCTCTCGAAGTCGTGCGAGTACTGAGAGTCGTCTGACACATTCGCAGTATCTGTTGAGGGCGAATCAAGACGTGAGGGACCATACTTGACTTGTACGACTGGCTGCTCTTGTGAATGAGAACTGCTTCAAGATCAAGGACACAACTCGCGTGAATCTGAGTGTCAACGGAAAGACATGTCTGTCGGAGAGAGATGTCAGATTGAGTGGACAGAGGTCGTGTTGCAGCAACATTAAAAGCTCTGCATGCTGCGACGAGCATTAGTATGGACTAGCTAAACGGGACTGACAAACTTGCCTTCCTGAACAGCTCGTGGTAGCTCGTGAGTACACTCTCAATTAACTCCAAGGCGAAGGTCTGATGTAGGCAGTCGAGCTTCAAGAGATTGGGTCTCTCTGAATTTGCGAGGAGACAGGGAATGCATCCTTGGCACAAGGCCCTAACGCTTTGGTGCTACCGTTCAGAAACGTCGCCTCAGACAGCTCCAGTGTTGTCGTTCTCTTGACGATCCTCGTTGACGATCCTCGTTGACCATTGATAAACATGACCAGTTGGCGTAGGGTGGCTGCTGCTGTTGAAGAGACTACCGCGATCCTAGAATCCTGCAGCTTAAAACAGAGAAGCAATGCCTTTTACAGGTAATCAGATAGGTACCAGGTAGTATAGACAGAATGTACCTCTCCCAGGAGCTCTTCGTGTATCGAAGGAAAATTAGTGATCAAGGAGACCAAAGTTTGCAGGATCCGAAGTTGAATGCCCACGCCTTGGCTCATGGCATCGTTCATCGTGCTTACGATGAGTGGGACAACAGACTGTGGTACAGCCTTGAGGGCTATCAAGCGCTGCAGCGACCCCAACGAGATGGCAACGACTTTCGCGTTTTGGTCGCACACCCCATGAACACTGGACGGAGAAGATCATCTGACTGTGCGCTGTCTGTGGGTGAACAATGAAGAAAGTGAGGCGTGTTTCAACGGAATCACGTACCACACGCCAAAGATGCTATCGCTTGCTCCGGAGAGGACCTAAGTATGGCAAGCGACTTCTCTGCTGCTTTTGCATGGACATAGTAGGACACCAGTACATGGGATGAGCACTTTCCGTCATACCTCGCGTATTTCTGGATGCTTTCTCCTGGACTCGCTAGCAAGGGACTTTAGACGAAGGTATAAGTGGATCTGGCGGATTATCATCGTGAACACAAACACACTTGCAATTCAGTCACTAGGAAGGCTAATGAACTCATATCGTCCTTGCGTTATTCTGAACGAGATTTAGACGAGTCCCGACCAACTCCAACGCTTTTTGTCGCTCACAGGGAAACACAGCTCAGTGCGCAGAAGATCAAGAATTGAAAGAAATTGACGGTTGAGTCAATTGTGTTTGGGAAGTCTTGATTCTGGCCTTGATGAATTGTATTCTCAACTCTCCCGCGGAGTAACTGAACCGTTATGATGTACCTGATTATGTAAGGATAGCAACTGATTCCCGGGGCTTTTGCTGCTTGAATGTCTGATAATTACTCATACTCAACTCGTACTACTTAGTACTTTGCCTAGAATGAGCACCAGCCCTACCAGGCCTAGCTCTAAGCGCATTCAACTCGAGTCGTCTCCGACCTCTCCGCCGCTGTCGAATGACCCTTTGACTTTGAATGATGAAGACCTAGGTCATGATCACTGTGTTATTTGTCTGCAATCCCTGGTTGATCGAGCTGTCATTCCAACTTGCTCCCATGAGTTCTGCTTTGAATGCATTTCTATTTGGGCAGGTTAGCCCAGCGCCCCGTTTCTATTCCAGCAATTGGTGACCATGTTTTCTAGAGCAATCACAAAAGTGTCCATTGTGCTCCCAGTTGATCGGTGAATATCTTATACATCATATACGCTCGCAGTTCGATTATCAAAAACATTATTTGCCCCCACCACGCTCCTCGTCACCACAGTTATTACCAACGGGGGAATCTCGTGTACGAGTTGCCCGACAGGCACGTAGGAATCGCTACTGGGGCCGCAGGGATCGTCACGATGCTGATGAACTTGAACGAGCAATCGCCAGAAGACGTTTGGTGTACCAAAGTCATCTCTATGCAAAGGTGTGTGCTTCTTCTTGTAATTACACACGTGTCTCATCTCGCCCAGCATGTCGCGTCTAACTCATTCACCCGGTATCGTCCTTACCCCAGTCCAGCTCAGTTTGCAGCATCTCCAGACATGATCAGTCGAGCCACCATCTTTCTCCGTCGTGAACTGCGCGTTTGGCAAAATCTTGATGTTGAGGTACATGTTATTGTAGTCGTTTGTGGGCTACTCCGCGCCTCACTCGTATCGCTGACATATGTTCTAGTTCCTCACAACGTTTATCGTTTCTCTCATGAAATCAATAGACATACGAGCTGAATCTGCCGTCAAACTTCTCTCCGAGTTCCTAGACCTAGACACTCCTTATACCGAAGGCCAGAGGCACCCGAATGCCGAACATTTTGCACATGGTCAGTGGTTTCTTCTCATCCATATGTAACTCTGTTCTATATTTCTAACTTGGTCCTAGAGGTATACTGTTATATGCGGAGTGGCCGTGATTTATCGATTTATGACAATTTAGTGCAGGTGTGACCTTTCTCTGAACGAACTCGGGGATCCGTGCTGAATTTGGACAGTATGATACCTCCCCAGATCCTCCGCCCCACGAGCAGGAAAGAGAGAATCGGTGGTGTTATGATTCCCGTTCTCGATCACGGTCGCCCCATCACCGTCATCATCGGTTCCGATTCCAATCTCCGTCAGCTCGACCTCTTTCCCCAACCCGGCATCCTGAGCACAGAAGAACTCCTCCTGCAACCCACCTTCAAGAAAGCTCTTCAGACTATCTCTCCCAAGATCGCAGGAACTTTCGACGAACTCACAGCGTCAGCGAGCGTCGAGATATACCTGATACCTCCAATGATCGACAGAGTCACCTTGACAACACTCAGGAGCAGCTGACGACTTCTACAAAGGCAAAAGGAAAAGAACCAGAAGGTCGTAACACACCTCCTCGGGCCAAGAGTGAACGTGCCTCGTGTAGCACGTTACCACGCATAACAGGAGAATTTGTGCCGAACGCTGTCATCGATTCCAAAGAGACAGCGGAATCATATACCCCCGGAAATCGGAAGTTCAATACGCCTGTAGAATTCGATCTTAGACCCTCCCCTGTCCTCCCCGCACCGGCTCATGTTCCAGTAGATGCTGTTGATAAGATGGACATTGATTCAGAGCCTATAGCTTTTACGTCGCATAAACGCCCGAGCACGCCCGGTCGCCCCCCTCGAAACCGCACTTTACTAGCATCAGTTCAGGCTCATCTCTCCCAACCCACACCATCGAGAAACAAGCATCTCGCAGGCGTAACCGCACGGAAGAACGATGTCGCTCCTGAATTTTTACCTCATCCATCAGGTCACCGAGATGCCCGTGATGAGAGCAGCAGTGGTGATCATACGCCTGTCCTTCTTTCGCAGTTGTCGAACCTTTCTGCCAATGCGCCGCCTGCTTCGTTGTCTTCTCATCCTTCTCTCGAGCGGCGCTCAGATGTATTGATGCCTCTCGGGGAAGAACGTACGTCGGCAGCAGGGCATCAACGCGAAAGGATCCGGAGCTTGTTTTCCGATTCTATCGCTAAATGCACCGATGACAGGAATATGTTAGCTGGAGAGGAAATTATCGCTTGTCCGTGCGGTACGCCGGGCGGAGGCACAGATAAACATAAACACAGAAACAAAGGTAAAGAAGAACAGTGCACCAACACATCGCCGTGCCTCGTCACCAATCCTGGAACCGTCAACGCGCATCCCGCCTCTTCATCGGGACTCCCCCAAAATCTAAACCCTATTTCAGTGCCGCACAACTCTAATCACGTCGATATCCTTTTGGATGTGGCGGAGCATATCCGGCGTAGCAGTCGGGAAGTCGCGACATATGAATTTAGGAACAGAACAACCGCACCATCAATACGCACTTCCACAGATATGCGGGCAGTGTTGTTGCAGAGACTTGAAAGGGAGCAACGGCTGGCCCAGAGAGATGTTGCGACCCCGACCTCGCACTCTGTGTCGTTGACTGTAGATCCCCCGTTGACACGTCCTTCCGGGGGTGAGGAAGCTTCTGCGCTGGAGACGAGGCTACGAACCCGGGCCTTATTACGCGTCCGTCTTGCGGCGATCAAAAGCAGTTCCAATGCCACTGCGATTGAATTGTAATTCATTTATTTTGCGTAGATTGGGAGAAGAAGGTGACGGGGGCATTAGTTGCAAGACCGTGGGGTACATCCTCACCCAGCTAGTGGATGGTTCCATTGATCTTGAACCTGATATGATTGCATCTTTTTTTTCACAAGATATCTTGGTGCATGGATCGCAACACGATGTCGCGCGCGTAACGGAATTCTCCCGTTCACAGCCCTGTTTAACTTTTCCTGGAAGTAGTAGTACCGCGTACGCCTAGATCTATAGTACTTTCTCAGAGTCGCGCCGGGTAATGAATTAGCATTAATTGGTTAAAATTGAGTAACAGTAACTGGCATCTGCAAGGTATCAAATCGGTAGCGTTGGTTGAACTATGGAGTTCGGTATGCCAAAGTTAAATGTATTGTTTGGCAAGATGCTGAAGATAGTGGTAATAGAGATAGTTCTGTGAAGATGGGGAAGCGCTCGAAAAAATGACATATAAGTGGTAAAAGAACAGTGGTTATAAAGGCTGTACTGAGATTAGTATGACGGAATTCCGTAGGGATAGACGATTAAGACAGGAGAGATGATATGGATAAAAGGGTGTGCGGCAACGATCGAACAGACAACAATAACGCAAACGAACGAGAGCGCGGAAAAAAAACGAGTGATTAAAAGTTGTACTTTTGTACGGTGGTTGCGGTAAGGAACGAGCATGGTATATCGGGGCTGGCTAGGGAAACTCGTCATTTTTTTCTTCATGGAATGCGTGAATATTTCAATCGTGAATCGAAAGGAGCGCAAAAGCGTCAGCGTCAGTATTATGCACAGGTGGGGAAAGAGATTATCAACGGTTCCGGCGGGGTTCGTCATCGTCTAAGCGCTTGGAGCTGGCGTCTTTAGATGATGACTCGCGTGCAGGGTACCTTCTGGGGTCGATTATATCACGGAAAGTGTTGAACGGACGCAGAACTGAGGGCGAGGTGAGCTGGCGCTCGCCTGAGGACAGATGATATTCCCTTGTGTTGTGCAATTCTGGGGAGACGTGGGGAGCAAAGCGATCACGAGATTCAGAGGAGAGGAATCTCCCAGACCTTGATGGACTCGAAAATGAAGCGAACTCCGGGCGGGTGAATGGCGCAAAGCTATTCGGATCCCACTGCGGCTGGGGTTGCAGTGCGAAAGGAGGCGGGATGCCTGTCACTGTGGAGGTGCGCTCTGTGTGGCGTGTGGGCTCGTGTTGGTGCATAATGCTGGTAGAAGATAGGTGAGAGGGAGGTAGTGAGGACGTTGGTGACATGTAAGGGTCAGTACTGATGCGTGATTCCAAGGCACTAAAGTGAATGGGTGGGAGCACTCGCGAGGAGGGAGGGGACTGTGCGCCCTCGTGCATTAAAAATGAGCGTGACGCAAGGATGCGGGGAACAGGTTCACGTAGCGTGAGGCTGGGAAAGTCCTCAAGGCCGCGAGAGCTGCGGTTTTGCATTGATGAGGTGGAGTCGGGGCTCGCTGCAATGCGGGGATACTCTTCTGAAGAGGTGGGGTAGGGTGACGTGCACCGTCCGGGTATACCAGGACCTGAAAGCCCAGGGTCAAGTGGCGGACCTGATCTAGGCACGGGGTTCCGCGGAGCACAAGCTCCTGAAATGTCGGGGAATGATTCCGCCATACCAACATCAAGAGCTGTATGGGAGGAAGAAGTTGATTGCGGAGCGCCTGGGAAGGGCCCAAAATGAGTTGGACGAGATAACGGTGCAGAATCACTCTGGGGACGCCTGGCTTTCTGGCGCTGATTCTATCACGAATCGATATGAGTTTCAACAAAAGAGTACGGAAAAAGCTGGAAGAACTGACTTGGAACCAGATCTGTCATGAAGATTTGTGAGCAAGGTATGATATTCACATGAGCATGTTACATACTTGGACTTTGCGAGCACTGAGACCAATTTGGCGGCCTACCTCCTCACGCATTGTTGTTGTCGGGAAGCGAGACTAGAGGAAACAATTAGACGCCTTGATAAGGTTGGTTTGTGAGGGAAGAAATATACCTGTGCGAGGAGTGCGTGTAAGACAGCAGATTGGTGCGGAGTCGTGAGAGTGCGTGTGCGTTTCTTCTTAGGAGCTGGAGCGGTTTGAGAAGATAGTTCTGACTGTTGTTCTGGCTCTGTTTCGTTGTCTGCCATACCACTTTGTGATGAAGAGTCAGAGGCGGAAGAAGGTTGTTCGACAGTCATATTTTCTGAGTTGCTCCTTCGTGTACGTTTGTTGGTATCGTGATGAGGAAGTCGATGCTCGTGTTGAATGCGTCGTGAAGGAATCGGAGAGGGCGTATGACAGTTTGATGGAATATTAGCCGTCGTCGGAGTAGACATTGAATAAAACGAAATAAATGAATGAAAAAAGGTGTTGGTTAGTTGTGAAATTAAGAACACATGGACAACCTTGGAAGCTGAAATGAGAGAGATAATGAATGGGTCGGGTTACGGTCAACTTGAGAATTTGACAATTGTAAAGGTAGTTTATGTATATATCCCCGATTTCCTTACGTGTCATTCCCGAACGCCTCCACCCGGCAACGTTTTCTTACCAATAAAAAAAAGTTACATGCTTTTTCTTCAGGAACAATCCTATTTCGGCTCATATTAAAGGTCCATTAATTCCTCATTTAAACTCCGTGGCTGTGAAAATGATATCGAGAAGTATTCATTTCACTCTAGTCCATGGGAATTCTATCCCGTAATCGTCCGATACCCCACGCGATTAACTTTAATCCACTCCAGTCCGCGATGCCACGATACAACTAATCACCATGACATTCATAACATTAAAATACATAGTCTACACCTCCAAAGGCACCCGTCGGCACCCTCATTCACTTTCTCATATATGTCTCACTCGTCGTGACGCAGTCGTATACACTTCATCATGACATGTGAGTCATGCACAGCTCGTCGCCTCTCCTTCTATGTAAACAATCACCGCCGTATGCCTAACCAAGGTAATCTTGTTCCTTTGCGCACCCATACGTAGTTACCCAAACCTCGATAGCCGCGAATTCACCGCTCCGGTGTGAAGCGTTGCAACGTGCGTCACGATGCCAAGTCCGAAGACGATGAGAACGGATCCAACTCGAACCCAGATACAGCCTGACGCCCAAAAAATAGTCAAGCATGAGGCTTATGCAGGGACAATGTTGATAGTTAATCAACGGCAATCTCCCCGTAAAATTACTGCGCCACGACGCAAAGATCAACCTGTGGAAAATTTAAGTATCATCAACCCTGAGGAGCACCTCCACCACAACGTTGGAATTTGAAACCGATTGCGGTGGCGCGTTAATTATGTTCCGTTTGAAAGTAACGACCTGAGGTTTCGCTCGGGGTACTCCGCGGCCATTTGAATAGGTTTCCGCGCTGATTATAAAATGAATTGTCATAGTAAAATATTAATTGAGGTCGAGCGTTATGGTTTTGAAATTCACATCGCACCTATAGCAGAACAACACACGGCGTCCGCAGCCTCGTGCCAGTACTGCTGTGGAGCTGGGGTGAGAAAAGCCAAATCGACACGGACGAAGATCCCATAGGTTCCGCGGTAACCGCATAATGAAGTGGGATTATTCAGTGCTCGACGGTCACCTCGCCTAGACCCAGAGGTTACCACCTATATAAACCGCAAACCTCCGCTAATTTAGCAGGAGGTTCGTTTGAATCCCCCAGCCATAAACGACCTCTTTGAAATAATTCACTAGTGCGGGAATAAGTAGAATTTGTATGCAAGAAGAAGTCGTTACCTGGCGATGGACACGGACGATTCGGTAAAAAAACGATACGGCATAAATAGAAACCCACCCTGAAACACGAATGGGTCGACTCGTGTATGAAACCAGAAATGCATCGACGTATCGATGACAAGCCATATGGACGATACTCGCCAACCGCGCTAAGATTTAGATCATCGTCCCTGCTTATCTCGGGCACCATTACATAATCAACACACCCACTGTTCGAGCATGGACGATTTCGACTCTTTTGCAGCAGATGAAGATGGTGCCTCCACGTCGCAATCAGCTGTCGAAACTAGGCAGAACGGTCATGTCCCATCTGGAATTACGCTCATCTTGCCCTCACTCAAAGCCATTAAGGCCGCGAAGATGGGAAAGAAGTCAAAACTGAAAAACCTTGGTTCCATGCAGGATGCAGAGATGAAGAAAGCGCCAAGGCCTATGAAGCTCAAGCCATTGAAGGAGGTATTGGCGAAGCTGATTGGGCAGTTGAAGAAGTGAGTTGCTGTTTGTGAGAGGGGTGTTTTGTTTTATACCCATACTGATGGATGTGTGGCATTACAGGAAGGACGATTATGCATTTTTTATTTCCCCTGTGGATCCCTCACGAGTTCAAGGATACGCTGAACTGATTAAACATCCTATGGATCTTGGGACGATGTCTACGAAAGTCGCCAGGGGAAAGTACCGTTCATTGGAAGAGTTTACTGTGAGTAATACTCTACCTCAACCCTGCTGCAGTGGATCGTCTCCACGCCTTCCATCGGTCTTGCGATTCAGATAATTAAGTTTTCACACAAACAATTTCAAAGAAACAAGGTGGCTAGCCTGCATGGTTGGATGGAACCCTTGCAGAGGGGGCATCACGCGACACAAGCTAAACTCTACGTTTTTTTTCCCCTTTCTTCAGACAGATTTCCGCCTAGTCGTCAACAATGCCAAAATATTCAATCCTCCCGGAACGATCTATCACACGGAAGCTGAACGCCTTGAAGTATGGGGACTCGACCATATCGCCAAGGCATCTGCGCATGTTATTGAATACGAGACGGATTGGAACATTGATGTGGAGCAGGATGAGGATGCTGCTTTGAATATTGATGAAGACGACGATCATATCACGACATCCACTCCGAGAGAGATTGAAGGAAGTCAAGTTGCCGCGTCGCCCACCCCGTCTTCTGTTCCCCAACAGTATATCAGGCGTGGGCCTCGAGGACCTTACAAGAAGGGTGCATCAGCGGGTATCTCAGAGGGCATTGATGCAGAAGGGAGACTTCCTGGCTCCAAGGAAGGTGTTGGGGCATTTCCCCCTGGCTCTGACTGGGCAAAAATGATGGTTGCACTGAAAATCAAAGGTATTGTTTTCGGAGCAGCATTTTGAGTCAAAGTTTCTGATGTTACTTTGGTGCCAAGGCAAGCGTTACAGAACTAAAAAAGAACGCCTGAGAATCGAGAAGGAGGGCCTACCCCATCTCCATGACGGTAGTCTCGACTACACAGAGAGTGCGAAACTTTCTACTCATACGTGTTGCACATTTCTAACGGTATATTAGTGGAAGATCCGTTTTCCCTTCTCAATGTCTTGGTGCCCGAATCGCTATCTAAACCTCAACTTAATCCACTTTACCCTTCTCCTCGAACAGATGATACAACGCAACCCCTCTTTCCAGGTCCAGTTAATGTGCCTTCCACACGTCCCTCTCCAACGCTAGCCACTCTTGCAGCCTCAACTTCACAATCCACACCACGACGTAGGCATTGGACGATTGTCCGCAATGCTTCAACACGGGCAAAACTAAAAGAGAAAGAAGATGAAGAGCCTCAGTCGACAGAATCCCAACGCGATTCATTTCCATCTGATTTTGGTTCTTTTGCGGCGTTGGGGGCAGAGTTAGGTACGTCGGCATGTTCCGAAGAGAGACTGGCTACGTCTATACGAGCCAGTATTGAGAACCGCCCCATTACAAGAAGTTTGAAAGCCGGGGTTGACAGCGAGTACTGGACGGATGAGAAAGCCGAGGAGGCATGGGACTACGTACGAGACGTGGTATACGGTGGAGTTAATGGCTTCGCCTACGTTAGAAGCATAGCCGAATTTGTTCGCCCGCCAGAAGAGATTTCTGTGAGTCACCCTTCATTACTTTCCGAAGTTGTTCGACCGCTTACGTGACACAGCGCCAGACGGAACATACCCACCCCCTTGGCACGTCCGTGGCTCGATACGTGGAGCAACATCTAGTTGATGTCGTCACTCGTGGCCGGCACGAGCTGCTTTGTACCACAGCGGCATATCTGCACTCAGTATTGAAAGAGCCTCTGTCACCAGCGATGGAAGCACAAATGGCAGCCAGCCTCACATTCCGGCCAACGGTGTTCCGTCTGATACAGGCATTACAACACGAGCAGTTGGATATGGCAGCACTTATCCGAACTCCGGATGAGTTGGAGAAAGCTGGTTTAAGTGACCTTGGAATTCCCGAGGGTCCTGCAGTCTTAGAACAGGCATTGGAGTGTGCCGTTCAAGCGCTAGAGGAGCTTGACCGCAAGGTACAGCAAAATGATGGGGTGAAGGTTGAGGACGATGCGATGGATTTGGATGGGGCGGAGGAGGACCCTGTAGCTAAGAAGCTGAGGTTGACGTTGTTGGCGCTTGCAAAACGCGCCCCACTTGACAAGATTACGCCTTTACCTGCTGCACTCGTTCCAGCACATATTCGGAAGATCGTACCGACTATTTAGGACGCTTTTTTTATTTTATTTGCGATAGACAACCTTAGGATTGGACTGCATTAGATTATACTTTAGGTGTAAGCATGGTTGTACAAGTAATAACGCTGAACAAACGCTGAGATTAGACTTTTCCGACCGATTTGGATCTGCACATCCCCTTCATCCCAACCAGAGTTCAGTTGATACACTCTAGGAGTCAGTGACTCGTTTGCGGATTTTGCATGATGGTTCGTCGCTAGATGAATAATAGACTCGCGAACGAGCTAATAACGCACAGTCATCAGAGAACCTGTGAGAAGAAGATATCGTCATATATCGTTATATATCGTAATATATAGGAAAGGTTTTCGTCACATTGTAATATAAAGTGATATAAAGCAATATATGACCATGTAAAAGCACCATAATCAGCATAATCCCCAGCAAGAACTCACCGGTTTACTGATGGTGATCCAAGCTTCCACTCCTCATAATCTCGTCTGACGACGCTGGTTGTTTGCTTCTTTCATATCCGCTCGCCGTGACATAGGTCAGGCTAATGTCAATCACCGAGAATCTTCTATGTCGGACAAGTCGTATGCTCGACGAATCTCTTCACTCACATGAATCATAGCAATGCATCGACGCAGGCCCCAATGTTGTCATGTAAGTAGTACGGGTACAACTCACTGACAAGCTGAGGATTAGTTCTGCGCAAGGCTATCACTGGCCATGCAATCATTTTAAGACCTCTGACATCGCCGACTTCATCATAAGATGGAGTTGGTGGGAACACTGTCACATTAGTAACCTTTGTGGTGGGTTCCGTAGCTTGCTCCCGGACTACCGATAATCATTGCTTCAGTCGTTTTCGAT